TGAAACATTCTGGGCTACTAGCCCGAGAACCGGCTATCCTTTTTTCTGAAAAATTTTTGTTCCCTGAGATCTTGTGGACGGACACCTCACTATTTTAGCATATCAAGCACCAGCTAAATGTCAATCCGATTTGGCGCAGAGGAAGTAGATCAATTTGTTCGCCTATCGTATTTCTGCTAACTTTGTAGGCTTAGGTGCCACAGCATGGACTTTTTGATTTGATCAAAGTTTTGAAATCATGTCTTTATTTTCCTGTAATGGTGCAGTTCAGGTAAATTTTTGTGAATTTAAGGAAATCAGTGAGTAGAGCCTTGTCTAAGCTGTTGTAATTTTTTTCTGATTGCAACTTTGAAAAGAAGCCGTGAGTGCATTTATGAATTATAGATGAGTTGGTGAATGAGTTCTGGCTACTCATGGAAAATTTGTCGCATGGTCTTTTTTGAATGTTAATGAACGAACTATTCAAAATAATTTCCGGCGGTTTTAATGCAGTTTTCTCAATTTGGGTTAATTTTATTATTAACTTTCGATTACAAAGGATTCTTGAGCTGATTGACTTTTTGAGCTGATTGAACGATGTTATAATTGTACCTGCGCAAAACACCATAAAATTTAATGATGATTTTTTCCTGATTTGAATTTTTTTTTTATTAGATTTCCAAAACTATAGTCATCCGCTGACTTGTTGTCAAGGATTGGACGAATTTGTAGATTCGAAGAAAATATTAGACAAGAGCTTTACGGAAGCTGACTTGGAAATCCCGGAGCATCAGGAGTTGTACAAGGGCTGTGCTGAAGATGGAAATAAGAAAGGGACAGAAGAGCTGTTGAAATTCTACTTCGATTTGCTTCTGGTCGGAGTTGTAGTTCTGACCTTAATTGTAATAGCTACTCTAATCATAGCTGTAATAGTAGCATGTGCACTCCTCAACAAAAATAAAAATTACAAGTGATCATTTAATACCAAATTTAATTTATTGAGCAAAATGAAATTGCGAAATATGGTGGCAACACTTTTGAACCACGTTTACAGTAATTGCAACTCCCTTTCTCTGTTTTCAAAAGAAACCTGTGAGCTTGAATGAATTTGCTAGACATTTATTGGGAGATTCTGATTTTCACAAACGAATCTTGTTTTGCAGGCGAAAATGTTTCCTGGAACTAGACTTTTTTCCCGTGAACAACTTTCTTTCTTACAAATCTTACTTGCTTTATTATTGAGCCTTAACAACTTCCAGGCTCGTTCTCATTTTGCCTAGAGGTAAAAACGTGGTCGCTTTTGATTTGCCGGACTTTCGTTTTTCTGCTCAAGTTTTGTCGGCCTAGTTACTTCATCGCGGGTTTTGCTTGTGCTGTTAACAACTTGCATCGTGGTCGCAAGTGCAAGTGTTGTTAATTGTAGTTTCAGGAGGGATTAAAACTTCAAAGTTTTTATATATTCAAATTTTTTGAACTTTTCGGCTCAAAGATTGATGGTCTTGTTTCCTCTTCGTGCTTTTTGTTCCGTTGCTAAATTAATAATCAAATGTTTTGTTTTGCTTGGCTTGTTTGCCTAGAATGAACTTTTGTCGAGATATACGAACATTTTGGTAGACCTATTTTTTCGACATTTTAAAAAATTTTGTTTTCTTTTTGTTTTTAATATTTTGTGAGTGATGGCTGCAGCTCAGCCTCCGCGTAAAATTTGATCCCGCTCAAATCTTTTTTTTTGTGGATTGATTTTTTTCTTCAAGTTTTCAAGCTAAAAGGAAGTCAAAATGCACTCTTCAATAACGAAAAAAGAAATATTATTTGGCGTGGAAACGTGAATGACTTAGTTTCGGAAGTGAATTCAACTATTCGGATTTTTAAACGGAATAAAAGGTACCTATTGATCCAAATTTTTGCCAATGATTTTGCGAATGCTTCGAAATTTTTGAAAAATATGAATTTTTATCCTTAACATTGGCATTGGCTTATTTATTTGTATCTTAAGCAATGCGAGGCTTTCTGTTGCCTCTGTTTTCCAGTTTTTATTGCTGAAGGTTGGCTTTTCGCGCTTTACTTCTGATTTCTTTCTGAGTTAACCTCAATTTCATTTGCTTAATGGAAGGCAAGTTCCACCCTCAAATAATAGAAATGCTTGATTGGAGGAGAAAAGTTAAAAAGCGCAGTTTCCAAAATTTTTTTTCAATTCGCAGCTTCATTTACGTGCTGACACTAAAATTTCGAATTTTAAAATAAATTTGTCAATTTGTCAAACTGTTATGAAAGAGTTTTTTTCCCGGAAAAATCAATGTTAATCTATCATAAGCGTGCTTGATTTTATCGGCTGTGTTTGCACAGCCTGAAGTTTTTGTCAGATTGAAATTGGTTTTCCTAGAACTGAATATAGTTTTGATTTATTTCAGTAATTTGTCAATTCAATAGATACGATTCTGTATCATTTGCGGTTCAAGGCTCTTCGTCTTAAATTCTTTTATCCAATGTGTTTACACTAGCGAGCTTAAAAGCGGCGTAATGACCTGTTTCGAGGGTGGCAATAGATTTTCATGCGTTTGTGCTTTAGCTTGAGTCGATTTGAAAAATCTCGAGTTTAAAGCTTTCTAGTTTTTTTTGGTAATAGTTTATAAAAAATTTTGTTTGCTCTAATAAAAATTTTGTTTCTGAAAAATTTGGTAGAGATTGTCTTTTTTCAATTTTTTTAATGAATGTTCTGTTTGATAGATTTCGTCTACTTTTCTGTCTACTAAATTGCAGTGAAATGTTTGTGATGTATTGCTAGTAGGGCAAAATTTTGCTTTGCCTGTGTATCAAAATACTGAATCATAAAATGTTCACTAAATTAAAGGTGTGATGTATTTTTAAAAAATGGTATTTTGTTCTGCTTCCAAGTGTTCATTGACATTTTTCCAGATGTCTGCTGTTTATTTTTTTCCTCAAATTTTTGTGCATCTCATTGCTCTTCGGTTGTGATCGCGAAATATGTTTTTTTTGTACACTCGTCACGAGCAAGTTTGAAGCAATAATTAGATTTTCAGTCAACGACGTTTATGAGAAAATCACTCGTTTTTCAAGAAATGAACCCATGTTGCCCATGACTTTTGGGCTAGAAATTTAACTTGTCTGCTAAATACTGCTAATGAATTTTCCTATTTGAAGCCTTTTTTAGTTTTTGGAATTTTAAGAATCAGTTTTCGTCCTCTTCGAAAACAAAAAGAATTAAATAAAGATATGATAAATTGTAATTAGTTTTAGTGCGAAAAAGTTGACATTTTAATTTTTCTCGCTGTAAACCATTTTTTAGCAAATTTATCGAAACAGTGTACGGATGATTTGTTTCACTCTTAATTAAAAAAGCGAAAAGAAATTAATAATCAGATTTCTCAGCGAAATAATAGTTTTGCCTATTGATCCATTTTTCTCAAATTGGGTTAATTTCAACAAAGTGTCCATCATAAATTGTTCTACAAATTCAAAGAGCTATAAGTCCATCTTTTTTTCTTCGAAATTCAAAAGTTGAAGGTTTTTGAAAAAACATGTCAGTTTTTATGAGGGAAAGTCTCGAAATTTGTTCAAGCTCAAATTTTTTTTTTTGTGGTTTGAGTTTTGATTTCGTTGTAAGTTTACTTAATCTTTTTTGTTAAAAGAAAGACAAATTGCACTTTCGAACAGCTAAAATGTAAAGACCACGAGAAACGTGATCGTCTTCTAGTTTCGTAAGTGGTATTTAGTTTCCAGCGAACTAAAAAATTTTGTTTTATTGATCGTTTTTTTTTCAAAATGGGTTGGTTTTATTTTAAAAACGCCAATCGTAAATTGTTCCAGAAATTCAATGAGCTTTAAGGGCATTTATTTTCTTCTTTGAAACTCGAAAGTTTCAAAAAAAACAAGTAAGTTTACTTGCGTTCATTGACTCTTTTCCAACTGTCTGTTGGCTATGCATTTTGTGAAAGGTGTTTGGCCGCATTCTAATTTTTTAAGGTTCACTTGCGCGTCTAGTCGCGCTAAAGTCTACGAGTGCTGACTATACTTTGTTATATTCAACCAATTTTCAAAATTCTCGTTTCCATCAGCAGATAATTCTAAAGTAGTGAAATTACGTGACCAGCTATTTCCGCCTCAGAAACTTCCGCCTATAAAACAGTCATTTCCGCCCCAAAAGCAGTCATTTCCGGAACTTTGGGATTCAATCTCGCATAATACTCAAAATTTATGGCTTATTCAGCGTCTACCTAATTTTATTTCTTCAAGAATTTGTTGAATAGTAATTGAGTTCTTGAGCTTTTCAAAAAAGTTCGAATCAAATCAATTTTCGAAAATGTCTAGGCAGATTTTTAAATTGCTCCTTTTTCGGCTAAATTAGAAGGCACACTTAAGGAACCGTTCGACACTTAAGGAACCGTTCGACAAAATTGATATTCCAACAAGAGTTCAAGTTATGATTTCCGAGAACAAAAGTGGAAATGGATTAAAAGTTTGCTCTTCACTTTTTGTTTTTAAGTTAGTTTCCAGCGGAATAAAAAGTAACTTACTTCACCATTTTTTTTAAACTGGGTCAGTGTCTTTAAACAAGTGGAGCTTGAATTTTTCAAATTGGGTTGGTATCATTCAGCAAGTGGGGCTATATTGCGAGGCCACGTTTTTTTATCCATGTCTCCTAGTATGGGGACTTAAATGGCATACGCTCAATCGGCCTAATAAAATAGTGTTGCCACCTGTATCTATGATGCAGGCATCCATGTTCTGCCAGGCTCTTTGGCGTTTGGCTTGGAATGGACGAATGAGCATGGGCGGATCTACGATTTTCTCGTGGGGAATTTTTCAAAAAATTATCGAAATTTTTGTCAACTGCTCTTAAGACAAAATTTTCTGCGTCACAGGCAAAAAGGCAGGTCATAAATTCCGTTTTTGGGCCTTTGTTGGAAACTTTTTGAGGAAAAAAAAATGCGTTTCTGGGCGCGCGTTTCCGGTCAAAATTTTCTTGTTACACCAGTTTTATTGTTACAATTTTCAGAAAAGTTATGATGAGGAAAAGTGAGATGTGTGTAGATACCAATGTGATCAAATCGCGTGTCTATGCTGACTGACATGAGAAGAAATCATGGCCTTACTCGAAGACGGACCCCGGTTGCCATCGCTGGGCGCTGTACGACCCACCAATCTCTCTAACCCAGGCACTTCCCTTCTGTCTCCGCCTTTAACATCCTCAGCGTCCAATGTGCCGCATAGCACAAGCACAATACAAGGTTAGAATAGTTTCACTTCAGTACTCCTAGGATATCGGTTGTATTGATAAAGGCAGTAGAAACTTGTGATTGGATTAAGCTCCCAATTAGCAAGTGGATCAAATCAGAATGTAGGCTTTTTTCAGGTTAACTGTTCTGTTTAATGTACTGTCCTGGTCTATGGCATAGCTGCTAAGTAGGACCTTAAAATACTAGAATAACAACAAAGATTAGAATGGGTATTGCAATCAGTTGCTAACGTTGTTCACAGAATGGTCAAAATTACAAATGGTGAATTTATGTTCAGGTCATAAAAAATTCAAATTTCTTTGCGTCTCCGTCATACTTGGTCTGGAGGTAACGAATGCGCCTGGGACGGCAAAGGTCTGGGTCCGAATCTGACTGGACTTGTTTTTTTTCTTCTAGGAAATAACCGTTTCAAAAAAATTATCGGCATATTTGTCTATTTGTCTGCTTATGTTTTATTTCGAATGAGTGGCAGTATTTATGTACTTAGATTAAAATCTGAGCAAAGTTCTGAGAGTATTGAGCGTCATCGTTGGGTCAAAATCATCTTGAAACTTTTTTGGGTGATTCATTGTTTTTGTTTGTTCTTGCGAATTGTGACTTCTCCTCTGTGTTGAACAGGTTACGGGATGAGGTTGGGCCACGGGCAGCAGGGTACATTGTCCTCCTCTGCGCCTCTAGTGATGATCCCGATTAACAAGAAGATCTCAGAGGCAGAGGACTCTTCGGTGCTCGCTCTCGCCAACAGGTCTCTCTCCGCTGTGCCAAATGAAGTCTACTTCGCTGCTGGTGACAAACTCAGCGATACTAGATTTGTCGGTAAGTGCGATGAGTCATCTTTACCTTTGCGATTAGCAAGGCTATTGAAATCGTTTAGACTTTTTCCGTGAAAAATTTTGCTAACATAATGGCGGAAATTGAAAATGCTCAAATGGCAATTGCATTGTTTACATTGTATGCTGTACCCAATTTTTTGCTGCGAACATGATGCTGTTTCAGACATATCAAAAAATTGTCTCTCCGAACTGGGCGATGGGCTCTGTAAACTTATGTCTCTGAACGGACTCAACTGCGAAAAGAACTCTATTCGTAGTATTTCGCCTTTCGTCTCTAACCTAGTGCACCTTCAATTTCTCAATCTTAGGTAAGTTTCGATCTAATAAATGTTTTGTATAATGAAACTTAATCAATAAGCTGATTATTCTGTTTCAGCTGTAATCTTTTGACTGAATTGCCAGAGGCCTTATCCAGAATTTCGAGACTGAAGATTTTAATTTTATGCAGCAATAATATTGCGTCAGTGACGCCACATATCGCTAGACTGACTCACCTCGAGAAACTGGTTAGTGTTTTTTTTATATTTCTTTTGCGAGCAAATACAAAATCTCCCTCGTGGAAGATATACGATTGAGATGACTTCTCGAACTTCAGAATAAAGCTTGAGTTGCAGAGCGAATCTTAAATTGTAGAGCGGAGCAATGACACCTGTGATTGCCTGGATTACTTTTCGGAAACATTTTTCTATAAAAATCCAATAAATCTATTTGAACTGTTGAACATGTGGGTTTGTTTAGGATGTGAGTCACAACGAGATCACCACTCTGCCAGATGAGATCTGCAGACTGAGTGCTCTCAGGTGTCTCAATCTCAGACAGAATGCATTGAGAACTCTGCCGGAAGGTACGATTTTTGGAAAATTCAAATAAAATAGGGCTGTAGAAACATGTTAGAGGTGTTTACCTACACTTTAACTCTTTTGTATTAATGAACGAGATGAAGACAAATATTAAGGCCGTCTTGTTTTTCTTGATTTTTAAAGAAAAGTCTTAATAGTTGTTCACGCTCAAATTTGATTATTGGTGGTTTGACTTCTGATTTTTAATTTCAATTGATATTAATTTGCTAAAAGGAAGCCAAGTTACGCTCTTCAATACCGAAAGTTCAAATGTCGAGAAAACGAGATTGTCTTTGAGTTTCAAAAGTTGATTTTTGTTATAAGAATTTCCAGTAGAAAAATATTTATTCGTCCAAGTTTTTTGAATTGGATTAATTGAGATGAAATATTTGTTTCTTCACGTTTTTTTAAAAGTCGGCCTTTTTGCCATCTTATTGAATCGAGTGAATTGACATTTTTCAGCTTTCTGTTGGCTCTGTTTATTTGAAAACAACCTGTTTCTACCCCCACGCCGTTTTTTTATTTTGGCGAAGCGTTTTTGAGTAACTTCATTCAAGCTCCTAACTTTCTTTCATTCAAGCTCCTGAGCTCCTTTTTAATAGGCCCTATTATCGTAATTTGTTTAACCCGTATGTTTACAACCGCAGTTTTCTAAGTATATTTTTTGAAATATAGTCTCCAGACAATTGTGTTTCAGAATTGGGTAAGCTGGAACTGCACACACTGGACATATCTGTAAACAGATTGCGACATCTACCCCTGTCCTTGACTCGCATGCGAGTGTGTCTGAAGGAACTATCCGTTCACGACAACCCTCTAGACTCACCCCCTTTACATATCGCGAGGAGAGGCAGGACACACGTGCTAAACTATCTCTCCAAACAGGAGGTCACTGAAAGAGTCAAATTGGGACTGCTCATGCATCCGAACACTACTAACAGTAGTGCCAACCCTAACAACACACAGCCTTCATTCAATTTCGGGTTAGTGAAAGATGGATTTGAATTATCCTACTGAAAAATCAAGTTAGGAAATTATCTATCTCAGCGAAACACTCAAATCGAAACTGGCTAGATTACATATGGAAGAAGACACAAAGAAATCCAAATTTATGTCTATCACCAATGGGTGCTTTGAACGAATCCTGGTAGTTCTCAGTTTTGTTTAAAAGATTCGTTTTTGGTAAATGGTGATTTTGCTTTAATTTTATTTTAAGTTAGTATGTGTTGCGTTTGTAGTGCTTCGCATGGGGGCTTCAGTGCAAATGGCGCAAAAAACTCGAGTCGTGACTCTGGCTACCAGACGAGTGAGAGTGAGGGCAGCTTAGTGCGCAATGCATGGGCCAGCAGATCATTTCCATCCCAAGGCCACGTCACGAAGACTACCAGGTCAAACAGTCTCAGCAACGGACCCCCGAGCTCTAATCAACTGACAGCTGCTGTTGTTCATGCGAACAATGCAGCCAGCAACTTGAAGACAGAAGTTCCGAGGTTTGTTTAGGTTGAGCTTATGAAAAATTATAAGCGATTTTTCAAGAGCTATTTCAGAAGTTAATTAATGATATCGAAATTAGAGTAAGGTCGCTCGGTATGAAGCGCAAAAGTTTTAGAATTTGATAATTGGATAAAGTTTTCTGTTTCGAGATTTTAACTGGGAGATATTGGGAAAAGTGTCATCTATCTCAGATGAGGGTATGCTATGTTTAATTGAGTCTTTCATATTAAGAGAAAGCTCATTTGCTGTGTCATTTGCAAATAGATAGAACCATAGATCTGTTTCAGGAAGTACAGTGCGGTTGATTGCCAAGTTTTACAACACAGCCAGGCAACCCGTATCAAATCTACAGAACGGTCAAATAGCTTTGAAAGTGCTCAAATTCATTCCAAACACAAGGTGGACCATTCCACGACACAAAATACCCAACATCCGATTATATCCAAAGATAATGTATCGCGCAGGGTATCGATGCCCTCTCCTGCTTCAAATCACAAGGCGATCAACAGATCCTCGCATGACAGTGTAGATTCCACTTCTTCGACGTTGACAGATGCCAGCAATGAAAATTCACCTGTGCGGTAGGGTTCTATTTTGACCGTGAATTAGTTAGTTTTTTCTGACTGAAAGGCTATTATTTCGGTTTGTTTCAAGTATTTGAGTATTGCATGTTTGAATACCTGCGCATATTAAAAATTGGGTAATTGATGCAGATCGTGCTTTGAACTTTGTCACAGAATAACTCGTTTTAGCCAAAATCCTCTGCACAAGAATCTGGTGACAGTGAATGGACATGGAGATGTGCGCAGTCGGAATGCACGAGACGAAATCAACTTGGCCGACTTCGAGAACTTTGATGACGACGATGACCAGGATGAGGGGGAAGAAGAGGCTATCTTGGCATCTATCAGAAGAAGATCGAATGCTCTCAGCTTCAGTGAAACGCCGGAAAACGGGACGCTTGATGCGAGGAAAACAGAACAGACTACTTGTGAAGCAGTTCCATACAATGAAGAAAGAAAATGTCCGGTGAGTGTTTGCGGTCGAAAATTTGAAACTTGCAGTTCACAATCTGTTATGAAAGACCATCTTTGTCTTCGAATGTTTGTCGGTAGAATTTTTAATTTTTTTTTTCATAATTTCAATTAGGGAAAGGACAAAATTTGAATACAGAAGCAATTTTAAAATTAGTAATTTTGCTTAAATTAGTATTAAACTATCGATTTATTTGCAATTAAAATGCTTGAAGTGATTTTCAATTTAACTGCTTTTCACTAACAACTGATACTTGACTGTAATCATATTAATCACCACAACTGCTTGTCTGCTTTGTCTTGTGTAGATTGTATTCGACTGTGACACATTAACCCTTCACTCCCCACCCCTTCAGTCTGATAACTCAATTGCGAACACCCCACCCACTAACTACAAAAGACAAACAGCTACTTCTTACAATTCTCCTTCTTCGTCTAAACACGAGGCTTATAACAGAACTCCACTCGGAAAACAACGAAGTGTGCCAGGGTGTATTCAACTACAACAACAACAAGGAACATACAGTGTACTACAGGGATACCTTGCAACTGCTAATACATTGAAACAGAACAACTCCTTTGTCGCTTCCTACTCCCAACATATCAGCAATAATGGCGGTCATCTCTCTCCTCACTACAATAACTCTAATAACAGTTATAACAACTACAATTCCTCCTCATCTTTGTCACGCGCAATCCCGCCCAAACCAGCCCCGAAACCAAGCCAAGCTGCAGTGGCGAATGCACGTCGGTATCAATCACCAATGAGACCGAACAATATACAAAGCGTCGCAGTGCAAGTTCTCCCACCGAAGTTTCCGGTTAAGACAAGATCGACCTCGTGCGATCCGAAACGACTTTCAAGCCCAGCTTTTATGGCAGGAAGCAATGATTTTATCCAAGAATCGCATTGTGTTGTCACGCGAATTGTAAGTTCTTAAGCTTCAAACAGAACTCACCATCTTCATCTTAATTTCGAATGTGTTTATACTCCTGCTGATCGATGAATACCATCTATTCTGCGGCTCTTGCTCTTGCCAGAAATATTGCGTTAAAGCTTGTAAAAATAAAGCTTGTTAGGCCTGTTGATCGCATCGGATGCTTTTTGTTACCAGGAGAATCACTTGTAGCTATAGGAATAGAGTTCACTGTTTATATAGGGGCGGGCCGCTTGTTGTTTCCTATCGACCAGCTTTTCTAGATGTGTTCGATTGAATCGATGAATCAATGTTTACTGACTTGTTACTGTAATTTAACTGTTTTTCTCAAGCTTTGAGCAGATTTATTATGATCGTTTTGTTAAAATGATTCTTTTGTCTGTTTCAGATTGAAAACGAAAAAGATACTTGGACAAATCCAGCCAACCGCCTAAATGATCAGCAAACTAGATTAGGTAAATCACTTTGTCTGCAATAAATTTCCAGCATTAACAAACAGGCTGCAATTCTTCTAATGGATTCATACATTGCGTCAATACGTTTGAAGGCAAAGTGCTACCTTAGTCGAAAAATTGTTTTCATGAGCTAAAAATCTGTTTTAGAAGTGATAGAAAACTAACCTGTCTCTTTAGCTTGGCCTACTGCGAAACAAACTAATAAAAGTGATGCTCAAAATGGACTTAGCTGGCAGAGTCAAACATCATCAGTAGGTGTTCAAAGTGTGAAAACATCAGCATCTACCTTCACACCACAGACTGCAGTCATCTGTATTGAGGACACGGTGGAGCGTCACGAAAGCACCCTGAGTCCCTCCTCTAGTGACTCATCAATTTCCATATCATCTGACCCTTCCCGGTCCAGCTACGTGCCGGCATCAGCCGAGGCGGGAAAAATAACTGCACGCAGACAGGCACTCAATTTCAAAGATGAACGCCGCGCTTTGAAATCGCTCAAGCAGGTGGGCCATAATGTCCCCTCGAATGTACTGTATGTTTTAGTTAGCAATGATTTGCTCGACCAGCCATTCAAATAAAATTTATAAGCTGCGCTCACAAGTAGTTACCGAAAAGAAGGCCAGTTTATTCAAGCCCAAATCAGGAGATAGTATGAAATATTGAGTTAAAGAAATTAAATGGACAGAATCAGACTTAAACAGCTTTATTCGTCGAACCGCGTTTTTCATGAGCGCCAAGCTGCTTAATACGGTAAAATAATATCCAAAAGTTATCAAATTTGTCGGCCATTATTTCTATGACAACTGGTTGGAAAAAGATAAGTGGACCAGTTTCCTACTGAGCATTGGTCGAAGCCTAATTTAAAAACACCATTTTATTACGAGTTGAATTTTTATAACCCAACATGCATGACTTAGTGATTACTTTTGCGATAAGTAAGGGTATTGCAATCGGGTACTGGACTTTTTTCCCGTAAATAACTTAGTTTACAGGACTCATCTGAGCTCTTGGTGGTAACTTGATTGACTCATAATGAATTCAAATTTCTTAGTGTCTTCTGCACACTTAGCATGAAGGTCAAGAACACGCCTGGGACGGCAAAGGTCATAGGTTTGAATCTGATTAGGACCTGTCTTTTTTCAAACGGTAAATATTCCGGGTAAAAAAATCGACCTACCATTTGTCCACTTTTATTTAGAAGCGGGTATCGAATCCTGAACCTAATTTTTTATCTTGTTTTTTATTCAGCTCGCGTTTGCATTTTCTGCTTGCGTATTAAAAAAGAAACCTTTGATAGACCGGTTCCGTACCAAGCATAGGTTGAAACATAAGTTTCACGTTGCTGCATAGCAATTAAGCCTTGGTTTTTTAATAGTATCTGTTTTTTCCGCTTAATGAAAGGCTAAATTTAATTAGACTCTTACTGCAAGATGGGACTGGAGTCACATAGAATGCATTTTTCGAAGTTTTTTTTCTCAAAGTTAACCATCTCATGCATTTAAAGCTCTCGCTTGCAATATTTTTGCATGTGTTTGATACGTGCAGCTTCGACTTAGTAATTGCATGGCTTGAATATAAGACAAGAAATTAAAGTTTTTACGCGTGCAATTTAGTGTTAGCAGATAGGAATGCATACTTTTTTCAATATAGACAACTTTTAACAGACAATTAGTTTCGAATTTCTCATATACTTTGGCACACTTCTAGCGTTGCAAAATTTGTTCTAAATTCGTTCGCTTGAAACAGTTATTCGGTTGAAATTGTTTCGCTTTATTACACAAGCAAAGCTTGTGTTATAGTATGAACTCTCTTTTTAAAGCTAAGTCGACATTATTGTTGCGACAAAATGTGTTCCTTTTGAAAGTGTTTATTTTGATCAATAACCAGCTATGAAGTACAGCCAATGCTAAGGATATTACGCAGGCTGTTATATTACAAATAGCACTTTAGCTTCAAGGTATCGTGGATCTGTAGCGTAGAGTTAGGGAAGAAGACCCGCAACAAAATAATAGGATTCGAACCTGGGCAGGGTCGGATGTTTTTAATGAACTTTTTCGTATACTAGTTAAAATGCGTCCGCTCTATAAATTGAGGCATGTTAATTGGTATTTTTTTCGAATTGACTGCTGTTGCTAATGCGTGCGTCACTGAAGAATTTTTGTAGGCTCAAAGTTTTACTCAAGCAAAAACATGACCGATAACGGTACTGGGAAAAACTGAATGAGTAAAACTTAGAGTCTACAAAATTTCCACAGTGACGCACGCCAATTATGACGCATTAGCAGTACCAGCCAATTCGAGAAAAAAATTCAATTAACATGCATCAATTTATAGAGCGGATCCATTGTAACTAGTATACGAAAAAGTTCATTAAAAACATCCAAGTAGCGTTATCGGTCATGTTTTTGCTTGTGTATGCGAAGTGCAACTTCACCTTTGTGTTTTAAATCTTTATATTTAAACTTTTTCCATGACTAACTTTGTGTTCTGTTTAACTTGCATCTAAGCAAAAATTTTTGATTGAGCTACCCCTTGATAATTTTTTCGAATGCTTATGTAAACGCTGGATATTGTGGTTCTCGATATTTTTCGAATAATTTTTTTAGAGGCGTAGTTTTTTTAACCGACCTTGTGGCTTCCATCCCATTTTCTGTTCGCTAGCCTGCTAAGTTATATTATCTGGTATTGCAAGAGGTGCGAAGTTCGGCTTCGCCTCTGTGTAACAAGATAAGCTGCGTGACGTAGCTGAAATGAGGGGCAACTCGGTTGTGTTCCTAAGTCGAATCAAATTTTAAATTAAAATAAGTAAGTCATTTTGGTTTTGCCTATTTGTTGTTCATATTTTTACCTTCGCGGGAATCAACTTTCTCAATTTGAATTAAAAGCGGATGTAACACTATAAAGAAAGACTTTGTCTACATAGAGGCTTTCCAGTTTGGTTTCTATTATCACGAGGAAGGTTGTTGAAAGTTTTTTTCCTGAAACTTTTTCCTCCAAATTAAAGCCATGCAAGACAAATCGAGAGAAACTTATTAATATTTGGTAAATCTAATTTTTGTCCGACCTTTTAAAAAACGGTTTTCTCGAAGTAGTCTTTCGTCTTATTTTTTGACGGCTGCTAGTTGACGGTTTGTTAAAGTTTTAGCTACTCTGTTTTGTTGCAGTTGTGTTGCAGATTGATCGAGTTGATAAACGCTCTAGATTTCATGCTCATTCGTTTTTTTTTTCAGGATTTTTCAATCAAACGTTTTTATATGGAAAATGATGGAAAATGTTTTTATATATTTAAGTTAGCATTCTCGTTGCATTTTTGATCTGTCTATTGTATAGTTTAGGCTTTCTCACAATATCCAAAAAAACGGCATAGAGCCGTTTTTTTGGATATTTTAACTGATAGCTTGATATTTTCGCGTTACTTCGTATTTGCTGCGTCAGAAATTTGATTATTGGCTCAGATTCAACATTTAAAAGTGTAAAGCTCACGAAAAACGTTATCGACTTCTATTTCTGAAAATGGAATTTAATTTTCAGATTTCCCAGCGAAATAAATTGGTTGTTTGATTTCGATACAAGTCTTTATATCTACATAAATTACATCTTTGATAAATTGCCAATTTTAGCTAAAAGTTTTTCAGTTTTTCTCAACAATTTCAGTAGTTTGCTAGCAAGACGGGGCGGGGTGATGGACGGTTGATATGTAAAAGTCAGCAATTTTTTTTACTTGAAGGCTTGCTGTGTCATTGAATTCATCAATTCTTTGGGATTCAGTACCCACCGGGACTTAGTCGTTAAAAGTGCTCTTGGCAACAATAAGATTTGCTTGAGTTTCATAATAATTCGTGCTTATTCGAATGGCTAGATTGAGGTCTGCTAGCAGCTATTAACGCTTGCAGCTTCTCAAACGCCTGAATACTAAACAGTATAATGAGCTTCAGCCTTCTCTTTGTGCGATGTTTTCTTGTTAAATGAATTAGAAATGCTGTATTTTTCTCACTTTCCTGTTTTCACTGTCTACGTTCACATTTTGCCTTGTTTGCCTTGACTGTTTTCAATGTTGACTCCTGACGCTTTTCCTCCTGATGTGATGATCACACAGTTTGTTCTTGTTTTAGGCAGCATGGTAAGATATGTTACTAATACACTACTAGACTACTCCAATATCATCCCCTTATCTTGGTTAGACTTAGTAGATGCTTGTCATTTGATTTAAGCTGAAATGTAATTAAGGTAAGAGACAAGAAAAGAAATATTTCATCACCTTTATGGAAAATTGCTTTGTCTGTTGAAATGCTGTTGCTTTTATTGTAATCGTCCTCTGAGACTGGGAATGGAAAATTGTGGTCATTTTGTAATATTTAATCTGACAGCTTGTAGGGTATCGTCTAATAAAGCCTCACATGTCTCAATAAATGCTATTAAGCCTGAAAATTGGTTGTGGTTCCTTGAGGCACAGAAATGTGTTTGGCATGTAAGAATGAAAGTGTGTGGATGGTGACATGTGCTGAATCATAATAGATTAAAGAAAACAACGTGATATACTGAAGTCCTGTAGAAGAAAACAAAACAAAACAAAACAAAGATGAACGAAAGGTCACGCTCTTTTGCCAAATTGTCTGAAAGGCCAGTATAGAATTATGCATGCTGTTTCGTGAAGGTTTTGCCGAGCATAGCTTTATCGTTTGGCACCCATCTAGGGTCTAAGGTAGCGTCTGTCGAAATTTGGGAATCTAGTTACCAGAATTGCAAAATGAACTTGCTTCGCCAGCTTATTCAGTTTTTCTGGGCTAGGGTATTTTGAAATGGTACAAACAATAAGAATAAACGTAAGGATGAACTGTGAGAAATTATGTCTGCAATAGTTGATTGTTGTGTGTAGGTGTTAGAGAGTATTCTGGGAGTGAGATTGGAGAGTGATCTGCAGGATTCCCTCTCAGATGGAGTCCATCTCTGCAACTTCATTAACGCACTCGGCATACCTAATGCACAAGTACAAAACATCAGACAGCACCAAACTCAACAAGTAAGTCAGCTGATAACGAGTGAATGGTGAAATAACTGGGCAACTAGGAACTTCATGAAAGCGACAGCCCAGAAAGTTATTCCAGAAAGTTGTTGGCTCAGATATAGCCAATTTCACCCACTTTTTTTTTTCGTTTTGCTCGTGAAAACTCGGGTGAATGATTTTTTCACTCACTAAGTCATGGTTTCGTGTTATCCGAGTCGTGGTCCTTAATTGCTGAAGTATTCTGTGTTAGCTCAATGTGATCGTGTTTAGGCGATAGTTATCAGTTATTGCTTTCCTCTTCTTGTCTATTCCGAACATGAACTTGTGAGGCGCTTAAAGTATCTGAGATATTAGAAACCGAGATAGCTATAAAAATGCGCATCGGTTGTTTCTTAAGTATTCATTTCTTTGGAATCAGTATGTCTGATTAAAGCTTTCTGCGTGCACTCAGTGTGAATCAGTGTATTTATGTTATTGCATTTTTAAGTTGGATGAGAAGTATAAAAGCGATTAGATCTCAGGGTATTCGCTATCATGCAAAGAAGGTCCTCGATAGATCGTTCAGAGTTCTTAATGTTCGGTTTGTTCTAGTAGTGCTTTTGATTGCAATTTTTACTGTATTTCGGATATTGCTGCTAAAAGTTAAGTTAGTGTGCATTTAAGGGTCCTCTGCTGGTGAAGACGCGACTGCAGAATGCTATTCATTTCGTAGACGCATGTGTTGCCGCCGGTCTTCCCCAGAACAAGATCTGCTCCCCTTATGATATCGTGGAGAAGCGCAACTTCCCCTTAGTTTGTCGCACCATCGAGATGCTACTCCAAACCAGTCCCAATCCCCCGCCTTGATCCTTCAGCTTTGCCCTCTCACTCGCTCCTTACTCTCGAAGTGTTGTTGATTATACATGTGACAAGAGCCGCCAATGACTGTATGATCTAGAAAATTTGATTAAAAAAGAAAATTGATATTAATTATCAAAGTGCAATAGCGCCTAACTTCACTGTCTTTTTCTACTAGACCCATACAGTTGTTGTCGTGAAAATAGATAAACATTTGAACTTAGTGCTATCTTAGTGCTAACTGGTCAAGTAAAAACTACAATTAACCATGAGAATGGGAAAATGGTTATCTTGATTTCAAATTATTGCTGTAATTTGAAGTGCTATACTAGACTTCAAGTACCTGCAAAAATTAAGCGACAGAAAGAGATAATTAAATTTCTTTTTCGGTCGCTAACGAATTAATTTATTTTGATTCTTCAGGAGAGATATCAGTAACTGATTTATTATCACCAAAAGCACAATTCCGGAATTTCAATGATTAGAGTTGCTAGCTGCTAGTTAATTTTATTTTTGATCAAACGTATCACAGTTTATTTTTCCTTCAATACCTTCCTTTGCAAATGTTGCCGTCGTTTTTCATTTTAGTTCAATTTATTAGGTGTCAATGAACATAGTCAAGATGAAGGTAGTCTTGATACTCAAATTTGACTTTTCGAGGTTGGCAATCTTTTGTTTTTCAATTCAAATTTAATCGATTAATGGAATGAAGGCAGGTTCCGTTTTCAATTAACAAAAATGAACTCTCTGAAGATTTCATTTTCTTGCGTTCACTTGCAAATATACCATATTTGCTACATGAACCTTCTTTTCACCTTCTTTCTTCGAAACTCGAAATTCAACTATTTGTTTGGTCTTCTTGTTCATTGACACAGTTCTAGCTCTCTGTTGGTTTTGCTATTACAGCCATCTGATGATATGATCACCGATTATTAGAATTCAGCTAATAAATTATATTTATGAAATTCAATTTGGAATTTATAATTTTTTTTAAAAATAAATATTGTACTAGAAAATAGAGCGAGATACTTTTAACTACGAACTTTTGTAATTTTTGTGAAAGTAAGTGTATTGTAATCGCAAAGTAGTGTCTTGTAATCGGGAACTAGTGTCTTGTAATCGGAAAGAAGTGTCTTGTAATCTGTAACAAGACTTTTTCCTCGTAAACATTTTTTTTACAGGTAAGACATTTCGTGACACAGTAAGCAATTGTGAAGTTGCTTTGTTTGAGAGCCCTAGAAACATCTCGAATCCTTCTCAGTTGGCCTAGAGGTAGCGCATTTGCCTTTGCACCCTAAGGTCTGGTGTTCGAGGCCCAACAGGATCTTTTTTTCAGTATATGTGAAGTTGACAAAACAAATTTCCGTGAAAAATGAATTGCCGGACTTTCTTTTGTCTGCGTATCTTTTGTCGCCTTAGTTGTCAAATCAGGGAATCATATTGTGCTGTCAGCAATTAGATACAAGTGTTTTTTATTCACTCCTGTAATTTGTAAAATTAATAGCCCTGACGTAAATTTTCCTCGGCTCTCCTTTTTTTCTTTCCTTGGTTCTCTTGTTACTTACTTTTTTGTCGCTTCAAAGGCAAAAAAAAAATGTTTTTTTTTCTAAGCATTCAGGAAGTTTGTGTTGCAAGATTTTAAAATTAAAAAAATTAATTGATCGAAATTTCTTAGGACAACAATTTTCGATGAAATTGTTTCGTTTTTGGCTCAATGGGCGCCTGCCCATTTGCTGTCTATTAGCCGCTCGGTAAATACTGAAAGGTTTTTCGATTCTAGTGTTTGTTTTTCGCAAGCAAAAGATTTTTTCGATTTTGTTATTTGTCTCATTTTCTATTCGCTAGCTTGCATAGTTGCTCTTGCGTTGTATCGCAAGTGATGCAAAGCCAATTTGTATAGCCATTTTTCCGTCGTCCAACGTTTTGTCTTTTTCGAGGGTCTCTTAGGCACTGTAGCCATTCCAGTTAAGGATGTGCGGTTTGAAGCATACTATCATGGGTTTGAATCCTTCCCTGTTACTTTAATTTTTTTGTTCACGCTACAGTAGTGTTTTTCCGGTGTCCAAAATTAACTAATTTAGAGCTGGAGCTCAATCATGTGCGCGCAGTAACGTTTATTTTTTTTTCGCTCAAAGACGACTGAAACTTCGAGTATTGTGGGCATATTTTTGTATGCGAAAGCCAATTGCAAGCTTCAGTAAGATTGTGTGAGGTAAATAATTGATCTTTGAACAATAGCTTAGCATTTTTAATCCGACCATTGAAAATGGGGAGGCACTTTGTCTTTGTGTGTGCTTTAGATTTTTTTCCACTGAAATCTGTTACGACAAACAATAATCGGAATTATTCGAGTGATATATCATTTCAAGCCTTTCAGTCGTGATTGAAATCCGGTTTCAAATTTTTGAGTTTCAGTCTAGTTTCGAGCGAGTAAAGCAATCGAGTAATGTATGTGTTATAAAAATTGGTCATAAAGGTTCAAAGGAAAGCTAGTTTTGGAAGCTTCACTTAGCTCTTCCGTTGCACTAAAAATTTCATCATTTAGCGCTTCCGCTTATTTTTCTTCCGTTTTCTTTGTCATTGTTTTTTTGAAGACATTATAAATTATGTTCAATTAACTTATTTTCTTCGCGTTTATTTAGTTAGTTTTGTCGTCACACCACGCGCAAAAAAAAAACGAAATATACATGAAAAAACCTTACATGTGTTCGGCTACACTTGCTACACTTGGGAGAGCAAAGGTCTTGTAATCGGGAACCAGACTTTTATACTCAACTTCTTAACATTTGAAATTGATGTTGCTTTATAATCGATTCATAGCATTTTACAAGCATCTGGTCACTTGCCTTGGAGGTAATGAGATTTTCTGTGCACCTGATGGTCTGGGTTCCAATATCCGGTCGGACCTTTTTTTTTTCAATGTCTGAAACTGATTTTTTTCTTAAAAATTTAATAGTCGGGCTATAGTTTGGCGGCTTAGTTGTCACTCCACAATTTTTTTAGACTGCAAGCAATTTTCATTGTAGTCTCAAGTGTTGTTGATTAACTACTGTAGTATTTTAGGTTAACTATAACTGCAAATAAAATTTCTAAGCGGGAAAAAAGCAAAAACAGGAAAATATACCAGTCAGGGTATTTTCCTGTTTTTGCTTTTTTCCCGCTTAGAAATTTTATTTGCACTAAAGATTTCGGGCCTTTATTTGTCGGGCTAGTGAACTTGTTTTGCATTGGTTTAAAGACCAAAAGTTTTTACTTTTTTTTGAATGCATCGGGTCGGTTGTTAGTAAAAAATTTATAAGTTCAAGCTTTTTAAGCGCTCAAATTTTCATATGATATCAATTTCCTGTGGCATTTTTTGTTCTCAGCTCAATCGATAACTATGCACGTTTTGTTTTTTTTGCATTTTGACGGGTTGCTTTTTAAAATTCCAAAAGCTTGTTTCAGGCTAATGGTTAAGTTTTCCGCCTGTTTTTTGAAGATTGAATTTTTCGTATTTCCAAAAAAATATCGATTTTTTACGATAACAATTTCTTTAAGCATTTATTATTTTAGGATCAATTGGCGTCTAACCACGTGTTTTTAGTTTAGTGAACGCTCGGAATATACCAAAAAAAATTTAATATTTCTTTCTCGTCTGTTTTTCTGAGATTGATTTTTTTCATTTCCAATAAAACGTTGATTTTTTAAAGTTTTTTTTTATAAACTTGATGTTTAACCACAAGCTGTTGGCTTAGTACTGTCTATTTGGTAGCTTGCAATGCTACGCAATTGTAGTATCACAAGTGATGCAAAGCTCTGCGTCGCCTCTGCGTTAATTTGCAACCTGCTATCCTTGTTACACTAGCCGGTTTTTTAACCTAACTCGCAGATGAAAGTATTCATTTAACGTGTTCACTTATTCGATGGCAGTTATGCTATAATGACGATTTGTAGCAGTAAAAATTTCATAGCAATCTTTCTCTGCTTTTTTTTGTGGCTCGTTCTTGTGATTTATTCAACGTCCGTGGCTAAGTGGTTAGTGCATGAGACGCATAGTCTCTGGGTCGCATATCTATTTTTTCAGGAAGTCTTCAAATTTGTTCATTCTCAAATATGTTTTTTTTTCGCGGTTTTGTTTTTGATTTCTTTCAAGTTCAGTTAATTTCTTTTGTTAATAGGAAGACGAACTCTATCGAACAGCAAAGGTGTGTAGGTTACGAAACACGTGATCGAGTTCTAATTTCGAAAGTGGATTTTAGTTTTCAGCTTTCCCAACAGAATAAAAACGTTACCTATTGATCCACTTCGCTCAAATTGAGGCGAATTATCAAAAATGTCAATCCTAAGATTTTCTCAAAATTCAGAGAGCTTTAAAAGCTTAAAAATATATTCAATTTTTTCCATTTTTCCAAATTCAATTTTTTTTCTGTTTTGATTGATTCTTTTCCAATTGCCTTTTTTTCTCTTGAAGTCTAATTCAATTAAACATTTCCAAATGTTTATAATACTGCTTTTAGGAAGCAAAACCTGAGTGTTTCGTTCGCACCTTAAGGTGTCGGAAGTAGTTTCCTTTTTTGAAAAAAAAATCAATACCTTTTCCAAATAAGTTATCCCAAATGCTATAATAAGTACAAGCAGATATATTTCGTATCTACTGAGACATTTTTGTGACCAGTTAGCGTTGTTCAATTCAATTTTGGAAATTTTTGCTAGCTGATGTTCATTTGGCATTCATTACCTGCTAATAGAAAACTGGAAATATCGCTCGCCATAATTATCCGAAATTGGAGATTTCCGTTTTCATATTAATGTGTAGCGTATGCGGCGATTTAAGTCAGTTTAGAAATCATTACAAACTGAGCTGAGGCAAGCTAATTAATTTAATATATGCATTACTATGCGCGAAATTTATGCTGTTAAACTTGAAAATGGCGCTAGAGAAAAGTTAATAAAAACGAAAATTTTTCATTTTTTTTTTCATTTTCTTTAAAAGTGAATGAACTATAAGAGACACTTATTTAGGTCGTGTTGATCAGGTCATGTTTTTCATCAGGAAAATGCCTAATTGTTCTTCGCGCTCAAGTTTGTTTTCTTGCGGTTTGCCTTAATGGTTTTAGTTATTTTCCAGTAATTCGAGTGGAAGGTAGTCGGGGAACGTTCAGGGGCCCCGTCCTAGTACAGGCAGTACTGATGTCTTTAGATATTTTTTTATAGAAAGTGAGGCCCAGTACTGATTTGCCTCGGTATTGATGAGTTCACTATTAAATGCTTCTTAGATTACGACGTTTTTTTCATTAGCCCCCGGTCTTGCTCAGTGCAGGACCAACCGTCGGTGAGGGATATGTCATCCATTTCGTCGAAGCCGGTCCCACCTTGAGGAGGCGGATGACACTGGAACCCCTCCAATCTAGATTACGGCGTAGTTTTTCCAATCTAACGCACAAATAATGCTTTAAAAAATCAGGATTTTTGCGAAGTATTGTTGTTTTTTAATTGCTTTTTTTCGTGTTCGTGGTTGGCGCTCGATGACAGGAAGGTGGTACGGCGCAAATGTTCAGATATAAGACCCATAATCTCGAGGTTGGAAATTCGAGTTCCGTAGGTGGGTGCAAATTTTTCTGTGAGATCCTAACTTGTAACAAATAGTAGAATTAAAATAATTTAGTTGTCATATTCTTGATTGTATTTCAGGTTAATCTTTGATGCCATTTGTTATATTACATCATAATTTCGGATACATAATTTGAATACGAATACAAACCAGACTTGACAAATACTAAAAGTATATAGCGGGACTCTTCCATTGGTCAGTTTGATGACCAATCAGAATGAGGATTCATCAGTCGCTGGCACAACTGCAACCCTACATGATCCGCCAATGAAGAATGAGGTACCCAATTTTCAGTATTTTCCTTTAGGGTATTCCACGGATCGAAAAATTCGAAACTGCAAGTAAAATCATGTGCAACAAATAAATAATTGACAACCATAAAGTTTTTCGGATTCGAAAAGTCACGTGCTTTCAGCCGAATGGCTGAAATTATGTTAGCCAATCAGAATTCAGAATAAAAGTCAGCCAGTCAAAAAGGACTGAAGAAGTCGTTGATTGGGTTTGTTTTTTTTTTGGCCCTTGGATCTTTCAGTCATGAGACTAGTCACCTTTGTTACACAAGGTGGTGGCAAACGGAGTCTCGCACAATGAGGCGACTTCTGCTAAAGGAGATGTTGCCATGATGCCCGTCAAACAGGCCAAAGCAGAGGACGGGTCGAAACAGGAAGAAACAGTAGACGATGGTGATGATTGCGTCTCTTCTGATGCTAGTGGAAAGCTGAAGAGCCAAATCACAGTCGTATCAACGCATAAACAAAACCCGAATGGTTCGTGTAAATTAAATTACATTTTCCATCGAGTGAAGAAAAGTATGGGTTTGAGTCGATGGGGGATCGAAAACTTCGAATTGAAAATATTCAGTTCAGTTTCATACTATTTAACTACCCTTTTCAATTCGGAGCTGATCGTACTGCACAAAGATGAAACTACAGTGCTGATTTAAATTAACCGGACAAAACGAACAAATTATGAAATTTCAAACGTGTTTTTCTCAAATTGGGTTGAGATTAGACAAAAAGTGAGGAGGACAAAAGTTGCTTAGAACTTCACCAGAATTAATATGGTGCCATTTTTTCTCCGAAATTCTCAACAAAAATTTTAACCCAAAAATGGGTCATTTTGGCTTTTTTCAATTAATCAAGAATTACGCTATAATTACTTTGTTAATTGATATGAAAATTATATCACAGGAAGCCTTTTACGCATTTCAGCAAAGTTTAAAAAGGGTTAAATTTCCAAAAAATTCCAAGTAGTTCGATTAAATTGTCGAGAACAGACAAGCTTCGACTTCGAACACATGCAGTTTCTAAATTAATTTTGCTCCGACTTGAATTGAATTTTTATAGTTTCGGATTGAGCATTGTGCTGATTTAAATTATCCGGACAAATTGAACAAAACTTGAATTTTCAAACACGTTTTTCTCAAATTGAGTTAAGATTAGACAGAAAGTGAAGAGAACAAAAGTTGCTTAGAATTTCATTTGAATTAATTTGGTGCAATTTTCTTTGGTTAATTTTCTCCAAAATTCTCAACCAAAATTCTTAGCAAAATCGTTCAAAAAGTGCCTAAAAACGTCTGATGTCAGTAGCGGCTTAAAAAAGTCCGCAAATTTTTTTCGAACAACCGCCCCCCTAGAAAATTTTCTGAGCACGCCACTGGCTGTATCGCAAGTGATACCAAATGTATGACTAGCATTTTTTCTATAAATGAAAATGGAATGTTAATTTTTATAAATTTGATTTATTTTTAAGTGGCAAAATCTCACAGATTAACTGCATTTGGGGTACAAGATTCATTTGACCGGTATTGAAATTCAAAAATGGACTTCAAAAAATTTACACTGTTTGCCTGTCGACCCAGTTATCTCTATTTTGGTTTGACTTCTTAAGAATTGTTCATAATTTGGGCTCGAAAAGAGACTGGTTTGGCGTAGAACTTTTTTTGAGTTGATTTGGTTTATAAATTTAAGGGAACCCACAAACAGTGCAATCAAAACAGGGACAGAAAAGTATCAGTAGTCATCCAGAAAAGAGCACCCCTTCAGAACAGCTCCTCGTAAATAACAACACGCTAGTGGTTGAGGTTGAACAGTCAGGAGAACTAGGGGGAGGTGGAGTTCACGGAGAGGGCTCGAACAACAATAACAATATAGTTGAGGTGGATCCGCCGCCGTCGCTTCCACCAAGAGGGGGCCCATCGGCTGCCGTAGCCAAGTCTCCTTCTTGTTCTCCGCACGTCAACACAACAATGTCATCATCATCATCGCCAGAAGCGGCAGTCGCCAAGCCCGTTAGCTTATTACATTTTATATTTAGTTTTTTTTTGCTCACTGATTTTAAAAAATAATTTATTTATTTTATAATAATAATAATTTATGACTTTTAAGGGCAGCAGTTTAGTGGATCCTAAGATCCCGTTTTCTGTCCTTTCCAAGTGTCACAATAAGGTGCTACAGAACCTTATCAAACTCATTCATGGAAACTGACTCGCTGAGATTCAGACTGTTTACCCTCGTAGCTATTTACTTACTGTTGTCAAATCGAGATTTCTTACTTCAAGGCCACTAATTCGACGAAATTACTAACAGCTTAAAGCCAGCTCCGGCTGCTTGCAAATATATGTATGCGTACTTTAATTTCTGGCTCAAAATCATTGATATATTTTGTCGGCTTGTCTGAAGTCTGCTGAAGAGCTGTCGTGTCAATTATATCTTTATTCTTAGATATTTAGGAAAGTTTCGTTTTAAAAAAAAAATATTTGGAAGGTGTCGGGTTTTGGCAGCTACTCATCAAAAACAATGCAAATAGCATTTGTAGATCAATATAATTCTTTTTCTCTAACTTTGTGTGATAGGAAATCAAATCAAACATACCATCGGCCAAATCCGCAAAATTGTGATCGGATATCATTTTGATCATAATAAAAAAGACATGATTTCTGTTTCTTATGAATTTTTATACAGAAGGTAAACAAAAAATTATTTGAAGCTAAAATAATTCGGATTGGGGGGGGGGGGGGCTGCAATAATGGGAAAGATCATATCATGTCTTTTTATTGTTTGTTTAGGTGCTGTGTCTGCGTCTGATCATTTCCTCTGGCTCTACGGCTGAGTTCACTGTAGATCCAGAGTGGACGGTGAGGGAGATCACTGCCCAGGTGCACTCCCACTGGCCCACTCAGTGGGTGCATGACCCAGTGCCCTCGGACCCCACCATTCTCCGACTCATCTATCAGGGCAGATTCCTACATTCCAGCATGACGCTCAAAGGTACGAAATGACAACAATTTTTCTACGATAAAAGCCGGGTCTTATCTTTTCTACAGTCCTAAAGAGATGAATTTGAGTTTAAATTGATATTCACTTTTTTACAAATGCGATAGCAACTGTGTGTGTTGCAACCGGGTGTCTATACTTTTCTCCGTAGTTAACTTACAGATTACAGCAGTTGACTTCATATGCATGCAGTTAATGCAGTTCATGTGCACTCTATTACTTTTTTGCAACGGTCTATCAATGCCGCTTTCGTTTCCTTGCAATTTTTCCAATATGTAAATGGTAAAAATTTTAAATTTAAGTTTGTTGTTTTTTCGATTTCGTTTTTGGTTGAATTTTGTCGGCTGTTTTCGGTTTTTCTACTAGCGATTTACATTGTTTAGTCGAATGCTTTTTATTGTTGTTTGAACGTAAGTGGCTTTTCGAATGAAATTCATCAAACATAATTTGTCGGTTTTTGTTGTGAACAGTTTTTCTGCTGAATCTATCGGCTTCAATGTGCACCTTTTTTTGAATAACATGAGAATATTAACGTAGGGAATACTTATATAGGTCGTGATGATTTTTTTTGGTTCAGGAAAGGCTCAAGTTTGACTTTTGATTCAACTTCAAGTTTTTTCTTTTGCTTGAAGAAATTCCTCCACTCTCGAAGGTTTAAAGGTTACAAAAAATTGATCGACTTATTTTTTCAAATTTTAATTTTCAGATTTCTCAGCGGAATAGAGAGTTTACCTATTGATCCAGTTTTCTCAAATTGTGTTAATTGTATCGAAAAAGGTTCATTATCGAATCATGAAAAAGTGAAAGATGAGTTTTTCTTGAAATTCAAAGAGCTTTGATGGCATATAATTTTCACATTGAACTTCGAAACCGTCAATTCTTTTCTGTTTCCTTAAATTAATTGACTTTTTTCCTATGAAACTGAAAGTTGAAACGTTTTGAAATAAATATACTCCTTTTTGTTCCTTTTAATTAATTTTTTTTAAAGTTATATTTGACTATTTTATCCTTTGCACTTGCAAGAAAATGAACTTGCTTTATTATTGAAACCTAACAACTTCCAGGTTGCTCCTTTTTTGCCTGGAGGTAACTCGGTTGCTTTTGCAGGCCCAGGTCTGGGGTTCGAGTGCCACCAGGGCCACCTTATGTGCTACAGCAAGGCTTTTTCTTGTGCTCTAAGTAAGTATCATGGTCATTCGCACTGTAGATAAAGTGTATTTTCAGGGAGTTTAAACACTTTTTTAAATCTTTTTTTTTCTAAAAGATTTGCAGCTTTAGTTTCGCTTCGTAAGTTACATTCAGTTGCTAAAATAAATTTCAAATGTCTTGCTTGCACGTTAAACTAGTTTCATGAAATCAGATGTTATAAAAGCGTATGGGATTGGATTTTTTGAAACTTTTTTTTCTGAGAGGCTATCGAATTTTTTTTTTCATTTGTTCTCAACTACTCTCACCGATTAGTTTCTCAACTAACCTCCAGAAAACTACTCTACGGAAATTCAAAATTGGATATGAATATAAGACCGCAAACTCCTCTCTGTGCCTGCATAATACACTCGTCTTTTTTACTTACCACACTGTCTACAACCTATTTCTCAAAACTACCTTTTCAAATCTGAGATTTTGGGTTCAATCGATAGAACTGTTTGTGTGAAGCTCCCCTGCATAAGCGGCTACGTCACCATTTATGTGGGCGCAGACAAAAAATATGCGCAAAATGGAACCTGATCTAAACTACATTTTATGATTGGATAAATTAAATGTTTTACCAATGTAAAGTATTTAATATTAACCAATCATGATCCATCTAACTAACAACCCACTTATTTGTAAGTGCTGAAGTTACTTGTAATTTCAGCACCAGAGAGATTTGAATTTAACTTAGAAATTAGTTGGACTCTCCCGAGCACTTCAGCAGCCGCAATAAACCAGTATACCCTAGATCTATTGAGCCTAGCAGAGACTAGTTAAACAACCTGAGACTAGATAGTATAAGAGTAAGATTAGGATCGGTATTAGACTAAGAAGTTGCACGAATCTATCCGGCCGAAAATAAGATAGCGTGACGAGCAGACGGTGTACCCTATCCGAAATTACTCTATGAGTTACACTTCGGTTCTAACTCATCTGGTGCGACATAAAATAAAAACTCCCAAAGAAAATTAGTTAATTTTCAAGTTTTTCCAGACTCTGTACATCAATCACAACTTGAAAGACACCAAGGACATATAAAACTAGACGAAAAATACCCGTATAACGGCGCACACGGACGATTAACCTATGACCTACACGATAAACATTGGATACCACACATTGGTATAAATGACCCATCAAACTGCAAAGCAGACACAAAAAATAAAGGATACCAAGAAATAATGTTTTTTGATTGGAAAATACAACTCGAAAAAATACAACTAACACGAGATTTATCAGATAATACAATGATCTATCAAGGAATCCGATTACCTTGTAAAAATGATCAAGGTTATTGCGACCCTACAACGAGAACACAAGCAACAATTGTTTGGTTCCCCGAAGATACATGTACAACATTTCAAGTAGCAAAAATACACGCTCGTATGATAAAATTTCACGAAAAATATTTTATACAATCAATACCATATGAACAAGTCCATCCATCACGAAAACTAAGTTCTGATTTTAGAAACATAGACAATATAGAAAATAAATTGACACGTTTTCAAATATATCAAGAAACAGAACTTGCATGTAAATACAGGAATCCACTTCACAGAACACAATACTCTGAAATATTAGTTGAATACGAAAAAGGATTCGACATGACCACTGGAAAAGTAAAAATTGACCCATATGCCACAGGTCATCCTCTAAACGAAGGAACATCCTATATACCAGTTAATTTTGAAAAAAGCAACGGACAACCTGGTGGACATCTAAAACCCCATGACACCAGAAGCACACGCTTACAAGAATTATCACTAATGAATACTACATATTTCGGTAATATCCACTATGATATTCATTTAGATATGAAACTAGACTATACAATTAGCCGAATTTTTCAAGAAATGTCACTCTCCGAATTAGAAACACTACACCAACTATGCGAATTAGAACGAACACAAATATTACAATCACTTGCACTAGCAGTGTTAAAAATACCCTATGCAGGATACTTATTATCTGGAAATAGATCAAATTTTTTAGACTATGAAGGAAACATCTTATGGTTTTATACTTGTACTAAAAAAGTATCACCACTATACGTTTTTGAAGATAAACGATGTTATAAAAGAATCCCTATCTTTTATAAGAATAAAGTACATTTCGTGGATACACTTTCACGAAGAACCTATTTCTGGGATACCGCAGTCCCATGTGGATCAGAAAACAGCCACAATGTAGTACAACTAAACCCTGATGAAAATAAATATTACCTTCTCACTCCATATCCCACATTAATGCAATCACTCAAAAAATTTTCACCAGAAAGCATTCGCGCTATTGCTCGAAACCCAAATATAGACTTACAATCAATAGGAATCTATTCAAAATCAGATATTCAACATCACATTAGAACACAACAATTCCAAGAATTATTAACACAAATGGACACTATACAAAGACAATCAATAGACCAAAATTTACGCAAACTTGCAGAAACCGCAGGATTTGCCGATATCTACACGCAAGACTATAGCGGATATTTTAAAGACATTAAAGATTATATATATCTAAACGGTGAAAAATACCGTCCCCAAGATATATCACCAATTAACATTTTTAGCTTTGTTACACTCAAAAATGAGATCCTCGATTTTCTAGGATGGTCCTACTACATCTTAGAAAAATTGACTATTTTATACGCAATGTTTAACTTTATTGGATTTCTTTTCTCACTTTTAAAAGGAATCTACAACACATGTGCTATACACACACAAGTAAACAGACAAGCAAGCGTAGCACGCATACTCTTTGCAGGATTTTTTGGAATCTTTTCTACATCTATAAACAAAATTCTTTTAGACGCACAAATAAAAGAATATAACACAAAAATAGCAACACGACAAAATACATACGACGAAGAACATAACAATGTAGACATAACGCCAACGGCACCACAATTACCACCCCTACCAAATAACCATCCACTATCCCTAGTCCCACGAAATTTTCGAAATTTAGCCATCACACATAATCCAAATTTTCGACTCACCACATCACAAAGTCCCATCCAACATATAATGACACACCAGTCACAAGATGATAATACTTATGAACAAATTATTGAACAACCCCATACCACCGCTTTTCAGTCTCAAAATAATCATTTTTTTAGCCCACGATGAGCCGCCAACTTGGATCACTACACCGATCAAATTCCCACCCAACCAATCTTACCTCTCCAATCCCAATAATACCACTTTTTGCTTTTCCGCCACCCGATTTCCCATCTAGTAATGTAACATCAGGCATGAATTCCGACACTAATTCACACATCTCAGTTTTATATTCCATCTCACAACTCAATAACCCGAATATTGAAACCCCCGATGAATTCGCCGACTCAGAACCATCCCCATCCAATAATTTTCATAACTCTTCTAATTTTTCTCAACCCCCTTTTCAACCCATATTATCCAATAACACTGACCCAATCACTCCCACACCCTCTTATGCTTCCCAAGTTACCCCAACCTACTCCTCATACCATTCTGACCAATCATCTCATTCTCCAGACACCCCCCGAATCTCCCCAGAGCTAGATAATTTTATTACCCTTCAACAACAACCCTACCACCTCCATACCCCAACAATAAACCAAATCTCCTCCACAATAAATTCATCCAACCCCCCTACCCCTACACCCTCTTCAAATTATACTGAATCATTAGCACCATCATCCACATCAACTGAATCTTCACTCAACACTAATAGAGCTTACCGCACTTTTAAAAGAAAGTTCCCCAACCATCCTTTCCCAGCAAAACCAGGAACAGCCCGTGAATACATCAACCACCCCAAGCATACTAACACAAAAGAATTTTTAGCCATCACCTTACCCTCATTCCCACAATACACCTTAAACACCCCCCACGACACTAACGAAACACGCAACTTTGTAGATGAATACGTTTTAATGCCCACTCTCTCTTGGACCTCATATTATCATTTTACTAACCCTCTTTGCTTACCTTTATCTAACACTCACATCGATATAGAGCGAAATACGGACATGCTATATCGACTCACTACACCACTAACCGCTAGACAATTTACTTACGTTGGATATAAAAAATCACTAAAAACACACACTGCACCTAGAGCTAACGAATATACACTCGAATACTATGATCACAACATCATCAGAGCTAACCAAGATCAATTCTTAGACGACGATCGCTTCGCTAATCCACAAATTACCGAGAAATTTTTCATCAAGACACCATATATATTTACACTAAACATCTTCGACCGAAAGTTTGATCACATTATTTCAGAAGCACTAACAGACACACAAGCATACGAAAGTTTTAAAGAACGCTTCCAAATATTTTCACTAACCTTTCATTTCCTTGCACCACACGAAAGAGATTTACACTGCTCACACGATATTATGTTGCGCACTAAACAAACCCACACATATAGTTATTATCGCTTCATCCAAAATCACTTTGACCTACACACACCCTCTAGACAACCACACCATCGTTTTCAATTCATTAATTCCAAATACACTTCACCATTTTTCCTAAATTTCACATATTGTATTAAAGACACTAACCTCCATGGTATTCTTCGTAATTATGACCCCATAACCCAAATGTACATCTTCTGTCCCATCACCAAGACCTTCAACGCCGAAGAATCCCGACCCTTCCTTATCCCGCACGAGTTTGTACAACCTATAGAAATCCCAATTTTAGAATTCATCCACAACACTAAATTCAATCACAAATTATATAATCTAATCCAAAACACACCTTATGAGTTTGCAGTTGGCACTGAAGAACTAACCACTATTAAGGCACTTCAATTGCTTTGGCCACTGCTTCAGACTAAAAATATCATCCGCATCTTAGCTAAACTACTAACAACTTCAGAACTAATTCACGACATCTTCCCCCACGGTTTTTTCCCCGACGACTAACAGGTAAGTATGAATTAAATGAATATAACTAACTAATTGAAATATTAAAAACTCACCATACTTTATTCATGTTTTCTTTAGATTTTTAGCCTTCATCCGACGATCACCTACAAAAACCACAAAAGACAAATAAAAATCGCAAATTTCATCAAACAGATTTCAAAAATTCTATTAATCTCTTACACTTATAAATTTATAAATTTAATACCAATGCAGTAAATTCATTTCTAAAATTTCCCCCACAAGCAGTAAATCTAATTATAATGAAAATTTGTAACTTAAAATTCCCCCATAACTAGCAGTAAATTTCCAAATTCTATGCAGTAAATTAATAAAATGCAATTGCAGTACTAACCTTTTGATATTCTCATTCATTCGCACAGAAATTCTATCCACACTCGCACAGCTCGCCCACGAAGAATTGTTTAAAATAATGAATTTCAGTTTCAAGTTTTCACACTCAACAACTCTAACATATAATAACATGTTTCAAACTTTCCTTTAACCCGGTTGGAAAGGAATCATATACTAAACAAAACTAACCAACGCAGCTTACTAAATACCACAAATCATAGAATAACAGCATGACTAAGAAAAGGAAACCAACGGTACCCAAACCGGATTAACCCAGTTTAAAACTGGATAATTTATTCTTTTGAAGACTATTATAAAGTCTAAGAAAGAAATAATAAAACACAAAAAAGTCGAAAGACAAACCCATACCACAAACAATTTGATTTTTGGAAAAAGGACATAACCAACAAGACATAAGAAAAACCACAACAAACCCAACATAAAACGTTGTCACATAACAGGACCCCTCACAAAAACCGCATGAAATCATACTCCCACTCCTGGCCTAACCCACCAGGAAGGACGTCCTGAGCATGCTCTATAGCCGGCCTAACCCACCGCGCTACATCCACGCTTTGTGACCACACCTTTATTTTTAATAAGAGCTACTCAAGTGTGAGTAACTCTTCAAAATAACCGAACTAAAACAAAAAGCTTTTGTGAAAACAACTAACTAAAATCATAATTAAAAAATATTAAACTAATAAATGTTTTATAAAATGTAAATTACATTTATGCAATACATAGATCAGAATACAACACCAAGGACGAACATCTAAAGACAAAACGACCCCACTACGCTCGAGAGAGAATGACCAACCACAATCGATATGCCACTCACAATCACAACTCAAAGGATTTAGAGTACGACTTGACTTCGCAGAAAAGGACTTCATTGAACTAGACCAATGACCACCTCGATGTTCAAGTATATGTACAGATCCGAGTAACCAGGCATCCCCTCCACGCACAATCTCCACGCCATTCCCAAACTAAATCAGACACAGAAAAGTTCTCCACGCAGAACAGAAAAACCTGACATAGCCAACCATTCTGAAATCAGATTTGAGTCTGTTGCGAAGACTTAGTCGTTGTCACTAGAAGACACAACGTCTTATGTCTCTAACTCCAGCTTCCTGGATCTTCTTTAACAAAAAAGAAACAGAAGAAGTAAGATGTTCGCCAAACACCAACGTCCATCATCCATCCTTCGAATTGCAGAAGAACTATTCTAAAAAACTCTGTAAAACCCGGATGGGTGGAACCTGATCTAAACTACATTTTATGATTGGATAAATTAAATGTTTTACCAATGTAAAGTATTTAATATTAACCAATCATGATCCATCTAACTAACAACCCACTTATTTGTAAGTGCTGAAGTTACTTGTAATTTCAGCACCAGAGAGATTTGAATTTAACTTAGAAATTAGTTGGACTCTCCCGAGCACTTCAGCAGCCGCAATAAACCAGTATACCCTAGATCTATTGAGCCTAGCAGAGACTAGTTAAACAACCTGAGACTAGATAGTATAAGAGTAAGATTAGGATCGGTATTAGACTAAGAAGTTGCACGAATCTATCCGGCCGAAAATAAGATAGCGTGACGAGCAGACGGTGTACCCTATCCGAAATTACTCTATGAGTTACACTTCGGTTCTAACTCAAAAAAGTTATGTCACTAGGAATAGTCAAATAATTGACTTTTTGACAGTTTTTTTTGTTGTTTTCGACTTTTCGCGAAAACTACCCTACCAAATCTGATATCTTGGGTTCAATCGAAATAGCGGTCAAAGAAATCCCTGGTTTACTTGACTACGCTTCATTTTTTTACATCAAAGTTATGGACTCGGATAAGTCAATATTTGTTTTCTTTTGTCTTTGAGAAGATTCCAATTTCCCTAAGGTTTTGGGCAAAGTCCAATTTTGAAGTTATCCATTTTCTCTAGCATCAGTTTAACAAACTCAAAAATATCAAAGAGCTGCCTCCAGCTTTAGCTGGGTCCCTAGTTATCTGTTAACAGACATACGAAAACTTTGGTGACCTAAGTTTTTTTTTCAACCTTTTTTTTATTTTTTGTTAATGTTAATGCTGTATCGCACGTGGTGCGAAGCTTAACTTCAACTCTGTGTAAAATTTTTGAACTAGAACAAGAGTATGATGACTTGCCTTCATTTGAAAAGTTGTCTTTGTAACTAAATTAAAGACACGTAGATATATAAAGTTTGATTAAGAACGGGTTAAGTTGTGTCGCGAATAGTGAAAAAAAGTTGCGTAAATGGTGAAATAAAGTAAAGTAGAGTCTGAATACTTTCAAAGTCTCTAAATAGCACTAGGTTTTCTTGTTTCTTCAGCTCTCAATCTGCAGGAGGGTCACACTGTGGTCATGCATCTGGTGCCCAGGGAAACTCTGCCAGAATCCAACTTGAGTGGTCAGTCAATATCTGTATTATGTCGACCAGCGGTGCAGCTAGAATTTTTCCTGAAAGAGATTTCGACCGAACAAGTCTTCGAAAGACGAGAATTTAAAAAATGTTTCTTTCGTGCATTTTCGAGTTACGATCAAATTTAGCATATATTGCCTCTTTCTAATATAGCATCAAAGTGAGACTCCATGGGCGGTGAATGAGTCCAATGTTTGAAAGGGGATCAATTCGATCAAAAGTAAAAAATAATTTCATCACATTCACTGCTTTTCGAAATTTTTGACCAGTCGTAAAATAAAAAAAGTAAATATTCAACTTTTTTTTTAGAAGACGGGAAGAAATCAAAACGGGAACGAGAAGGACATTGCTGCGTTGTCTTATGAAGAAATTCAAAATCCCAGTCTCGAGAGTTAGGTTATCTTCATTCGTTGGTTACCGTCCGTTGATCTAGAATATTCTAGTTTGGTCAGGTAATCTCTTGCTGTTTGCTGTAATCCTCCCTCCTCCGCACCATTTGATGTCTACTTTACTTCGTTCCTTCCGCCCGCCCGCTAACATGTCGCTTACAATCAGCAGTTCTCCAAAGTAGCGGGAGGCAAAACTCAGCAATCTTCTAGTCCTGCCCAACCGCCAAATTCAATGATCATTTAACCTAACTTCATGTCTACTGAACTGAAATGTTTTTCGTGACTAGTGTTTCGAATAATTTGATAGTTGATTAATAAAGTATTGCATTTAGCAACTGATATTTTTGTTTTGCGATGATGAAAATAGCACAACCTCCAGTAGTTTTAAATTAATTTATAATACATTAGATGTGAAAATACATTTTATGTCCTCTAAAGTTCTATAAATATGTCCAATTTAATTAATGCCTACGAACTGCAAACTATTTACTGTTCATGTTCCTTTAACAATTAAATTTTGTTTTGGATCTTCTGGCGAAACTGGAACATTCCAAAAAAAATCACATTATCGCTATCGTCATTTTTTTTGATATCGTGCGGTTTGTACGTGTTACTGAGCGTAGCGAAAACACTTAAGTGATGCTGTTTTACGTAAAAGTCAATTTTTGTACCCTTATTGTAAAGAGACATGAGCGAAATGATAAATCAGTTATTAAAGCCGGGCGTTTTTTTAAGGGAAAAGTGTTTGACAAAGCCTTCGGTTGAGGGGAGTAGTAGGGTACCGCACTGTGGGTGGTTTTCCTTGTCTTCTTCATTCGATGGGGTTACCTCCATGCCTCACTCTAGGTGTGGGGTCTTACTCCTTACCTCGCTCTGGGGGGATGGCGGGCTATCTTGGTTATGGCTAGCTTTTGTTTGAACCTTTTGTTTTGTTGTGATATTGAATTTGAGTTAACTTCTTTTCACACTCAAGTTGATTCTATGATCAATCGAAAAAAAATTCTAACGTAAGCCGCAAATACTGGTGCCAATTTCGGGACATTTTTACAATTTTTTAATAGCATGTGTTTTGACATTCGAATAGTAATAAGTTAATACAGTCGATGCATTTTTAATTCATCAAATGAACCGAAGAAAGCTGTTTGTTTCAAACAACATAACTCAATAAAAATTCGATTTCAGAAGTTTTTTTAACTCAGTATATCTCGCAGTTTTTTGAATAGCACAAGTTATACATAATGTGGTTTTATGAATTGTGATTTGCTTCATGCAAAGTCAGTGTGGATGCCTTCAGTTTGTTATATTTCAAGTTATTACTTGCGACATTGGCAACTTATCAGCTTGTGTAGCTGCTTTGCTTGTGACTAGTGTTGGCGGTGGTTGAGAGTGCGTGGCTGAGTGGTTAGTGCGTGAGACTCAAAATTTTTGATTGCATTAGGTCGCAGATCGAATCCTAGACCTAGCCGAGTTTTGCTAGTTCGAGGCCTGTTTCTATTTTTTCTTTTTGCACTTTCTAGAGCGGCTTTTTGTCGTGTTCTGGCTAGTCTTTGCGAAGCGAGCCTCTTAATGAACGTTTTTCACGCTCAATTTTGCATTTTGTTGGTTTGCTTTGGGTTTTTTTTCAATTGCGAATCAAGTTCATTTGCTGAAAGGAAGGCACATTAGACTCTCCAATAGAGAAGTGCAATTAGCGCAAAAATGAATCGCTTGATTCAAAATTGAACTTTATTTTTTCGAATTTCTATCGGAATAAATCAATTTATCTTTTGTGCTCCGTTTACTTCATGAATAAACTGTCAAGCGCTGAAAATTATTGAGGATTCACACAAAGGAAAGATATTGAACTTGATTTTTTTCTCCTTCTTCTTAAGCTCAAATCAAAGGCAAATGCAACTTTCAAATAAGCGTGCATATGACCCGAGATAACGTGATTGTTCATATTCAATTGTAGTTTTTAGTTTTTAAATTTCCCTTGATTAAATTAATTACCTATTGTCTTTACCCTTACGATAATAGTATTGCAATCGGGTGCAAGACTTTCTTCCCGCAAATATTAGTTCACAGAATAGTCAAATGGTAATCAGTATATTTCTTACTCATTGGTGTTTACGCATGGTTAGTCAATAGAATGGTTACTGTATTCGCCTAGCTAAGAGTAATTAACGTAGATATTTCTTGCTGTTTTTTTTTTCGTTTTCAGGAAAAAGTCTTAAAATATTGATGCACTTAGGTATATATGCACTTTTTGAGTTCAATTGACATTCATCTGCTGAAAGTGACGTAAATAACCTTCTCCAAATACAAACGTGCAAATGGTGCAAAATTTCGTGAATGATTTCTAGTTTCGAAAGTGGAATTTAGTTTTTAGATTTCCAGCGGAATAAAAACTTTACCTGTTGATCCAGTTTTCTCAAGTTGGGTTTGTGTTATCAAAAAGTGCCAATCATAAATCCTTCTAGATATTCAAAGAGCTTAAAGGAATCTATTTTTTTCTTTGAAGTTCAAAAGTTGAGATTTTTTCAACAAAATCAGGTTTTTTTAAATGTTTACTTGCGTTCATTACTCTTTTCCAGTCTTCGATTGGCTCTGTTGCTTACGTTAATAGTTGTCTTTTTAATATTTTATCAGATTTGAAAAAATTTTTCAGGTCGTTTAGCTTTAATTCTGTCGGCTTAATTTCCTAACTTTTTCAATCTGTAAGTTTTGTTGTTTTTATAACGATTGATCAATAACAGAAAATTTTTCAAAAATCTAAATAACCCTTTTAAGCCCTCCGTTGTACAATTTGAAAAAATAAACATAAAAAAAATTTGAAATCTGCTTAAGATAAATTTTTGGCTTCTTAGTTTGTTTATTATTACGGTTGCGATTAGCAAGCGTTATCAAACCGGAATATAGACTTTTTTCGGATTAACAATTTGTTTAACATAATCACTTGTACCCCGGTTCATAATGAACTCAAACTTCTATGCGTTCCCGGCCAATTTACCTTGGAGGTAACGAATATGCCTGGGACGGCAAAGGCACGTGTTCTTTAAACGGGAAGCTTTCTGTTTTAAATAAAACTGTCGGCCAATTATTTCTCTGCTTATCTGTTGTCTGTTAAGTTGGACCTGTTTTTTCAATCTCACCTGGACCTGTTTTTTAAACGGGAAGCATTCTGTTTTGAATAAAATTGTCGGCCAATTATTTCTCTGCTTATCTGTTGTCTGTTTAGTTGCCGAATCGTGGAATCAATTTTTGTTGCGCGCATTTTCTTGATGTGGCGTTTGGTGTTGGATTTAATTGCTACAATATGTAATTTTACTTACTTTGACTTCGTTTTTTCTTTGTTTTTTTGTTCCGCTTAAAAAAATGCCTCGGCCCAAATTATTTCGGCCTATTTTTTATCGGCTTAATGACCTATCTTTGGATCGTTTCAAGGTAAACAACATTTAAACTTTTATCTGTGCAATTTTTAAGTTAGTTGTTTGTTGAGCAATCGGTTTGTTGAAATTTCTCTTTGTTAGTTATCGAAAATTGTTTTCAAATTGATGGGAAAAGTTTTAGTTTTTTTTTCAGACTTCTTATGAATATCAAAAGAGATGTATCAATTTAAGGACTGTAAACCTCCCTGTGAGACTGCGTAGTCCGCTAGAAACTTATCACTTGACACCATCTTTTTCTAGCTTTCGAAAAAGTCTACAGCCTCAGAAAAAGTCAATATTTGACCTTTTGTTTTTTTTCCGTTTTCTCAAAAACTACACCTCTCAAATCTGAGTTTTTGGCCTAAAGGAATAGAACAGTTGTGAAAAGCTTGCTGAATAAGCGGCTACGTCGAACATGTTTACACTTAAAGTTATGGCCCTTTTACTACTACTACTACTAAAACTTTTACTACAACAAACGCATTAGTAGTAGTAGTAGTTTTCTCAATTCTGATATTGCTTAAATCTCAATTCTGATATTGTGAGTTCAATGGAGATAGCGGGTAATGGGAACCACCCACGTACAAAATTTTTTACACAAAAATTCATCGACCACGGAAATTTTAAATTTTTTTAAACCGTTTTAACACTTTTTGAATATTTGAAACTACCCTGCCATATCTGTGATTTTGGGTTCAATTCAAAGAACGGGTTGTGGAAAGCTCATTTGTTAATGTGACTACGCCCAAATGATTCTGACACCAATAGTTATGGCCCCAAGAAAAGTCGAATTTTCGATTTTTTGACTGATTGTTTTTTTTTAGTTTTTGACTTTTCTCGAGAACTACAAAAAGCTGTGATTCTCGGAATTTTTGATTTGTTGACTCTTTTTTTCTCATTTCTCGTTAACCATCCAGCCAAATCTGTTATCATAGATTAAATCAAAACAGCAGGTTGCTGAAAGCCTAAATTTGTAATTGGGGATGTCCAGATTGCTTCAGAACAAGTTATGGCCTTCAATCAAGTCAAATGTTTGAAACTTAGTGAGTTTGTTGGAACTTTTTAGTCTTAATGCGAAAACTACCGTGCCAATTCTCAAGTTGTGTTCACTCAAGAAACCCGAATTTTTGCTGCTTAAGTGGCGGCTACCTGCTTTTTGCAGAATAAGTTATGAATTTTGGAAAGGTTTTTGACCGTTTTATTGAACTTTGACCGTTTTTTACGCTTGCGATTAGCAAGCGTTATCAAATCGGATTGTAGACTTTTTCCGGTTAACAACAAGTTAAACAAATTCACTTGCTCGTTGAATCAATTGCTGCTATGCTGCTGACATTCACAATTTTTTGAAGTTCTAAATACAAACAAAGAAATTCTAAATCTCGATAGTGAAAAGATGGAGAACCATTTGGGCCTTAATTATTTTTTCTAATAAATTTGAAAAACGCTTCGAATTTTTTCCGGATTCGTGGTTTTCGGCCTAGCTGCAATCGGCTCATTTCCGTTTTTTTTAAATGGCATTAATTTTATCCGGTACTTTTTTTTGACCTGCTTTGTAAACTTGATTTAATTTTTTTTACTATGATTGAAAGTTCTGTATTTTGTCATTTTACCAAATCTGATATCGAGTATTTTTGTTTTCTTTATAAAGTTTTTTTTTCATTTAAACGGTTTCCGCTTAGGTTGTACCGACTTGGTCAATAAATATTCTGTAGTTTCGAAGGCCGAAAAAGTCCCGTTTGACAAAATCAGGTTATACGAAAATGTATGGGATTGGGTTGTTTAAATTTTTTTAGACGTTATCGAGTTTTTCTAATTTCTTGGAAAAGTTTGTAGCTCGGAAGAAAACTACTCTTTCGATTTTCAAAAGAAATAAGTCAGTAAAAAGAACTCTAGCTCATCTGTGGTGTGCCTGCATATTTTTCTAATCTCTTTAATCTACCTTACTCTCCACAGCCTTCGAAAATGTCTTCAGTGGAAATATGTGACCCAAATTGTTGAATTTTTTTCTCGTTTTCTCCAAAACTGCCCTCCTAATTTTGAAATTTTGGGTTCAATTGAATCAATATGTCGCAGGGAGCTGCCATGTTTGATCGATTATATCCAATTTTTTTAATCACAAAAATTATGGCCCTCGAAAAAGTTGTACCGTTTTTGTACCGTTGTTTGAAACTATTTGACCTCTATCGAAAACTAACCTCGCATATCTGGAGTTCAATCAAATTGACCGGTTGTGTTAATCTGTTTTTCGTAAGCAGCTGTTCACAAAAAATACCAAAGATTTGGCCCTCGAAAAATTTCATAATTGGTTTTAACCATAAATTTTGTCAGCAACTTTTCAAAAGCTCTTGCTGTCGGTGGTCAATGAGCACGGCATTATTACGCATGCGATTAGTTTTCTTGCAAGTAGCATTGTTGATTAGTTACCGCTGCGTTATTTTTGTTACGATGAAAATTTACTGTTCAGTTGTCTATTTTGGCATGCATTTTTGCTTAAATGATTTCTTTTACTAAGAAATAAATTTGTCGCTAGGTTAAGCTTTTGTTTGTCGACCTTTTTGCGTTTTTTCAACTTAGATAAAGCTTTTCATAACGTTTCGTCTCAATTTCTGTCTGATAGTTTGTAGTGCTATGTTAGTGTTGTATTCCTCTATGGTTTTCGACTAAAACTCGATTTGTTTCACGAAATGGGTGTTGCATTCACTACATATAAAGCACTCGTGGACACTATAGAAGCAGTACATTTCGGTTGATTATCAGCCGTATGCCTGTCGGTTTTAGTTTCGTCGTCTTTTCTACCTAATTTTTTGCTTCCAACAAATTTCCAGTGTTGTTTTAAAGATTGATAAGACTGGCGCCATATTTTCTTATCCTCTTGAAAAATGTCCTCTTGAAAAAGATCCTGCTGAAAAAATAAAAGAATTAAGCGTGAAAATTTTTTCTTATTTTCATTTTGGAAAATTTTTATTCTAGTTTCTTTTTCAATTTTCTCTTCGGAAGACTTGTTTGATACTTCTTAAGCCTCATGCTGTTTTATTTTTATGCGTTTTGTATCGCAAGTGGTGCTAAGCTCAGCTTCGCTTCTGTGTCTCAAATAATGTTTGTTGTTATCAAAACAAGTATCAACCGAGAATTATTCGTGATATTCAAAGATAAAAGCTATGTATTTTTCCTAATTAAACTCGAATGTTCAATTTTCTCCGAAAAATTTTTCTAATTTTTTCATATGCTTTGAGTTCATTGATGTTTTTTATCGTAGCGATCTGATGATTCAATTATCTATTTTTAGACGTAAGCAAATAAGATTTACTTGTGAAATTCAATGTTGAATTAAGCTGTTTTTGTGAAGATTTTTTTTTGCTATTTTTGTATCGAAGTGTGTTTTAGAAACCTGTTATTTAAGTTGGATACGTTTAATCTTGCCATAGCAAGTGGTTTTTAATCGCAACTACATATTTTGCTGAAATCAAAAAACCATTGAAATTGGGCTTGCTTTCTTGTGGAAGCTCAAAAACTGCCTGGCCCTTCACGACCCCTTTGTTTTTAGTGGGAAACCGCATGCCTCGAAATCTAAGGTCTGACCTTTTTTTCTATACGTGCTTTACATATGTGAGAGCAAGTGTTTCGTAATCGGGAACAAGACTTTTCCCATTCTTACCTAATTTGTATTTGAACTTGATGTTGTCTCATTGTCGATTCTTAGCATCTTCCAGGCCCCTTCTCAATTGGCCTGGAGGTAATTCGGTTGAATTTGCACTTCATTGTCGAGTTAGAAGTCCCGATCGGACCTTTTTTTTCATATTTTGATTTTGACATTTTTTTTGGGAAAAATTGAAAAGTGGAACTATAGTTTGTCGGCTTATGTTTGTCGGCGACTATAGTTGCCATATCACTATATTTTGCGCTGTAAACAGTTTTCATTGTATTGGCTAGTGTTGTAGATAAAATTCTCTAGTTTTTTAAAATTTACTATCCATGACTTTTTTTCTCGCTTAGCAATTTTATTCGGCCTTAATGATTTCGGCTTGGCTCGGCTCATCTTTCATCGGTTTATTGAACTTATTTTGCTCCGACTTAGAGATAAAAATTGATTACTTGCAGTTTGAATGAATCAGGTCGGTTGGTAGTATAAAAGTTTAAGTTCAAACGTCTTATGCGCCCAAAAGTTTTTCATGACAACAATTTCCTATGCCATTTATTGTTTTTGGATCAATTGGGATCTAACACCGTGTTGCCGGCTTAGTGAACGCTCGGAAAACATAACAAGCTTGTTTAAAGCTAGTAGTTGTGCTTCTCGTCTGTTTTTCTGAATTTTTGTATTTCCACAGAAAATTGTCGATTTTGTTTAAATTTTTTTCTACCTGCTTATTTCCATCTTACTGTCTATTTGGAACTTGCAATGCTAGGTTTTCCTTGTATCGCATGTGATGCAACGCTCCGATTCACCTCTGTGTTCACTTTTTTGCTTCTCAATTGTTGTCAGCTTAGCTTACCTTAATTTTTTTTTCTCAAATTGTTCTCAAAGTTCAATACTTTATATTTTATGTTCGTCATTCTAACCGTTATATGCATATTGATAGAAGTTTTGTTTATAGTTGATGAAGAAGGTTATTCAATTTTTATTAAGGTTCTGTGTATTTTCTAAAAGATTTTCGCGGATTGACTTATTTTTTTAAGTACAGTTCAAATTTATTTGCTGAAAGGAAAGCAAATAACGTTCCCCAATATCGAATGCTAAAATGGCCCAAAAAACGTAAATGTCTTTTAGCTTCAAAAAAGGATTTTTTTTTTCAGAATTCCCAGAGAAATATAAAAAAGATTTAGATTGATCGATTTGTCTCTAGCTGAGTTATTTTTATGGTAAAAGTGTAACTCGACAAAGTTTCTTGAAACGCAAAGTGCTATTATGCAATTGTGAAAAATGTTCACCAAACACTCAATCATTTTTGAATTTTATTACACTCTTTCAAATCGGCTGTGTTCTTAGATTATGTTTTGCCGTATTTTGCTGGCGAAGGTGAAAGACAGCTTCGCTTCTTTATTTTCATATTATGATAACTGAAAAACGCAGAAAAGTTTGAAAAATTAGTTTTTTGGCTTAGTGATTATGAAGAAAAACTTTTTTGGTTTGAGGATGCTCAACTGTCCTTTTTTTCACTGATTTGTTTCGAGAGTTTACAAAATCAATTTCCTAGCGGAGCTCAATTACTACCTAAAACTCCAGTTTTCTCAAATGGGAGTAATTTAATCAAAAACGTTGCTCTTGAAGAGGGGTCATGTAAACTCAAAGATCTTTAAAGCCAAATATTTTTGTCTTCGAAATTCGAAAGATGAGATTTTTTTTTCAAAAAACAAACGTTGTTTTTTTTCTTTTTACTTGCGTTTATTGGCTCTTCTCCTACTATATGTTGACTATGTTTTCACTGGTGCTCTTCAATCAAATCAGCTTTCAATCATTAATGCTTTTTTACTCAAACCAGGCTGGCAATGCTTGTATTTTATTGTTTTTCGATGCAACTTTTTCTAAGCATTTTTTTCCTTTCTTTACAAACATTGAGTGTAAATTTGGCACGCCTGCAATGGTAATGAGTTTTTTATCAAACCGTTGGCTGTGGCGTCAAATCGTAGTCTCTGGGTTGAAGCCATTGGCTCTGGGTTGCCTTGAATGTTTTCGAGGCTGCTTCAAGGCTTTTTTGTTCTCTTGCCTCTATGCCATTTTTTTTATATATATAAGCTCTCGCCCCTACGCACTGCAGGGCCCTCCGTGAGAAGAGGGGTCAACGATCTTGCTGTAATGGTTCCCACTTTGAGGAGATGGATGACATTGGGAACCCTCTGGACCGGGACGTGTTATAGTACCAGTTTTTTCTTCCCCAATTTAACTATAATTTCTGGGTTTCAGCTTCACTATACAGCTTTAATTCTATATATTAAATAAAATAGCATGAGATATATCCGTTAAATTGCTGCTTGTGTCTAAGGTAAATGCAGAACTCATGGCGGGGTGATTCAGTAGTCAATATCATGTGACTTATGTCGACAGGCAGGGGCGGATTTGGGGGGGGGGGGGGATTTGCGGACGCTCTCTTCTCAGGGATTCGACCCTCTGACGACCCAAAGGGTCCCCCTTTGTACTATTTTCCAATATCCATTTTTGGCGATGGAACCTAAAAATTTTCTAAAGGCGCGTTAGGCGCCAATATATACTAATTTTGAGGGGGAGCTCGCGCCGAAAAAATGCGATTTTTTGGTCAAAATTTTCCAAAAAGTGCCTAAAAACGCCTTTTTTGGGCTGTTTTTTCAAAACTTTGCCTGCGGCGCACAAATTTTGGCCAAAACAGGGACAAAACAGTGCTTTGGGAGAGCTGGAAAAATCTATTTGGTCGACCTAAAAAAAGGTCGACAAAAATTTCGAAATTTTTTGAAAATCCGCCCCTCTCTCGAGAAAATCCTAGATCCGCCCCTGTCGACAGGTTCTTCTTTTTAATCGGCATGTACTTGGTTGTCGCGTTTTTCCGCCGCCCCATCAGTTTTTAACGAGATTTTGTAACCTTCTGCATTTAGATTTTGTAACCTTTTGCAGGGAGAAAACTCCCTGATGCCACTTCGCGTCATGAATAGTTTGGAATCCGGTGTTTCGCAGTGAGAGTTTAGATTTGCCGTTTCCAGGCTTATCTATGAATTGCTTTGATTTTTTGTAACTTTTTTGTTGCATGCGTTTGTAAAGTGCAGCTTCGCCTCGAAAGTTTTGATAAGAATGAGCGTTGACAATTATTCTCGCTGATCGCAGTAGATCCAAATGAATGAAACAGATAGTGCAATTGCAGTTCGAATGCAGTAATAATGCAGCGAGAAGATCTTCTCTATACTTCGCACTATTGTGAAGAGAATGTTTGGAAGTTCTGTGAGTCAGTACGTGGCTTTCTCGCTGGTCAGCATTCGCCAAACCGTCTTAACGAGTGTTGGGCAGTTTTCGTATCTAATGCCAATAAAACGGTCCCAATTTGGTGCCAAAAAGCCTCCGGTATAATTGAAGATGTGAATTTATATCTTTTGAATTAATTAAGTCTTTCGTTTAAGTCTGCGTTGTGTACAGAATGCATTCTAAGTCTCCCGTCTTCCATTTTTTTTTGCTTGTTCAGGAAAAGTAGCTTCGTCTCTTGTGTTACACTTGCGAGAGCAAAGTGCATTGTAATCTGAACTTTTTATTTGAAACAGTCTTAGAATTTGCGCGTGAGAAGTTTATTTTGTTTCAACATGATTTATTGATGAATCCAATATGAGGAATTTTATTAAAATATTTTTGAAATTCCATGTGCTTTGAAATTATACATTTTTCTTTAAGTTTGTTTAAAATTCAGCCTTTTTGCGGTCTGTTTAAGATGAGTTCAATGACTGGCACCTTTCCAACTATCTGTTGGCTCGGCTTATTTGTAAACAACCAGTTCTGACTCTCATCCCCGTTTCTATATTTTGGCAAAATGTTTTAGGTTAACTACATTCAAGCTTCCAGCATAAAATCTACTGCGAGCTCAAAATTTACAATTAAGCATGAATTGACACATGCTGTGCAAGTTGCATACAATTCTACGATCACTGTTTTTTGAAGAAAAAAAACTGTTTTAAATTTCATTTTTCTAATAGCTGTTTTGTATGTGTGGTTCATGCTCAATTGTGAGTTATAAATGTGACTTTTAGTTTCAAAAAGTAGATTTTATTTATTTTATTTCCCCGGGAAATTACTGCCGTATTTCAACTGGTTTTGAAATAGATAAAAAACGAATCAGTTGCTTAAAACTAATGGCTCTTTGAATTAATCTAGTCAATGTTATGAAACCCATTTGCTAAAAATTACTCAATACTTCAGTCTAATTCCAATTTTTAAGCAACTTTTTTTCTGCATCTGTACTTCTCGAGGTTTTGCGATCTGTAAATTCTCTCCATTTGAGGATGTTTTTGAGGCGAATTAGAAAACTATATAAACACTTGCTAAATTTAGGTATCTCATTGTTCCAACTTTCGAAGGGGTGCCGAATATTAATATTTCAGCGAAAGAAATAATGATTTTTGCCAAAAAAATTTAATAGCCCATTGAAGATGTTGACTCTGTTTTATGTAAAGTTCTGGCGGCTTGAAAATTGTCAATTTGATCATGCTCTGAACTAATTTATGCGCGCTTTGAAGGTTTTATTTATGATGCTGAAAGATAACACGAGAATTATTTGTGTGGCGAATTATCCCGCTTTACAAAATCATTCAAAATTGAATTTAGGCAAGCCGTTACGTGAAATGAACTTGCTTGCTCATCAGGTACCCCCTGAAGGGCAAACTACCTACCTGGTAGCCCATCATGATGCGATTTATAAAAAAAACTGCAAAGGTATGTATATGTATATCCTTGGCGTGAAAATAAAATTATTTTATTATTATTAAATAATACTCAAATATATTAAATGAAATTCACATTTTTATAACGTGGAAGCTGATGCGGATCATCCAGTTGTATGGGATTATCATGTTATAGCAGTTACAACCAGCTCACTGGCTGAACGGATTGGATTTAAATTACAAGGCTCGCCAACGAATACAGGTGCTGAAAAAGTGGTATTTGATTTGGATACGAATCTGCTGTTTCCATGTGCTTTTGATGAGTATATATCGAAGTCTTTTGGAAGCGACGAAAAACTTCAGAAAATGTATCACAGATGGTTCCGAGTTGTTCAAGCCGAACAGTTTTTAGCCGACTTTGCTTCTGACCGAAGCCACATGAAGAAGATGAAAAAGGACGGATCTTTTGAATGGTCTGCGCCGCCACCACCCTACGCGCCTATCAAAACTAAAAAATGTGAAAATAATATCGAGAAGTTTTGGTCGATGGATGAAACAAGCAACTCATTTGGGACAGTTCTGAGTTTAATGGATTTTAGTAAAATTTAGATAGTTTAGTTTGACTGAAATCTATCTATCTATACTATATTTAAATGCGTGTGACACGTATCTTGCCATGTTAAAGCGTTTTTTTTTGCAACTGTTAAAGGCATAACATATCTATGCGTGGGCATAACTAAATCGTCTATTGCAATGCTTTCCGATTTTCCAGTTTCAATCTAGTGTTTGTTCCACTGAGTTAAAAATTAGCAAGACACTAGTAGGATGCTGTCAGAGTTCCCTCAGGGGCTGCGAATTTGGTCTCCAATTATGAATTCCCAATTCTATATTGGACGAGATACGACGATTTTTGTGATTTTTTCAAAATTTTTCGGAAAACTCCATTTACAAAACTTAAAATTCTCAACACTGTCGGGTGCTATAAGTGTACTCTCAGGAATTGCGAATCTTGCCTTCAAATATGACTGCTCAAATCTCTGTAGTTTTTGAGATATGACGTCTTTTATGATTTCTTTTTAATTTTCAGAAAACTTAGATTTTAAAAATTTCAAAGATTTGAAATTCCTAATCTTGTAATTGGGTACTGTAAGGTTACTCTCAGGAGTTTCAAGATCGAAACCTTGCGTCCTAATGCGACTGCTAAAATGCTCTTAGTTTTCGAGATATGACGTTTTTTGTGATTTTTCAAAAACTTTCAAAACTTAAATTTTATAAATTTTTTAAATTGTGAAATTTCCAATTCTTTATTTGGGAACTGTCAGAATACTTTCGGGAGTTGCGAATCTCACTTCCAACTATGACTATTCGAATCTTTGCAGTTCATGACATATGACGTTTTTTGTGATTTTTTGGAAAATTTTCAGAAAGCTTAAATTCAATGTTTTTTTTGAGTTTTTGAAATTCTCAACCCTTCGATTGGAAGATGTCAGTGAAATCTTGGGGGTTGCGAATCTCGCCTCCAAGTTATGGTTCTCTCGAGATAGAAAAATAATATTACGGCGAAAAGACCAGTACGCAGCGGGGTTCTTAGAGTGGGGGTGACGTTTGTCTCCTTCTCCTGGAATTTGATCCCTCCACCTATGTATGTGTTTCATTCGCCCTATTGGTGTCTGGTGTATGTGGATTGTAAGGTTAAATGATGCAGTTGAAGACTTAAGACTCTTACTCTGGGGGTTGGGGTTCTAATCTCATAGTGGAAAATATTTGTTGCTTTCCAAAGCTCATTTAATTATTCTTGTATTAAAAATAAAGCATAGCTTCTGTTATAGTATGAACTTTCTTTTTTTTCCAAGCTAAGTCGCGATAATTGTTGCGACAAAATGTGTTCATTTTGAAAATGTTCATTTTGATCCAGCTATTAAGTACAGCCAATGCTAAGGATATTAACAAAGACTTTTATATTACAAATAGCATTTTAGCTTCAAGGAATCATGGATCTGTCGCGCAGAGGAAGGGAAGGAAACCAGCTGCAAAATGAGAGGGTTCGAAATTGGGCAGGGTTGTATGTTTAACGAACTTTTTCGTATACTAGTTTGAATGCGTCCGCTCTATAAATCGAGGCATGTTAGTTGGTAATTTTTTTTTTTCAAATTGACTGGTACTGCGAATGCGTCTTAATTGGCTTGCATCTTAGCAATTATGTACACTCATAATTGGCGTGCGCCACTTATTTTGTAGACTCAAAATGCAGTTTTTACCAGTAGCGTTTTCGATCATGTTTTTGCTTCTGTAGGCGAAGTGCTACTTCACCTCTGTGTCTAAACTCTCTTTTTCCATTTAATTGCTGGTGTTTGCAAAGTGCAGATATGCCTGTGTCAAATTTTCGCCTGCCCCGCTCTAAATTCTTCTAAATATGCCTACCTTTTCATGGTCTTAAATATTAATGTAACTGCTTATAGTTGAGGGAGTTTTTAACACTTTTAGATATTTTTGTAAGCTTGCGATTTCGTTTGCAATCGAATTTTAAAGGCTATCAATATGACCGTTTTCAATTCGATTGAGTTTTTGTCTAGTTTTTTTTTGTATCCCACAAAACGCTTGATGATACTAGGCGTATTATTAGATCAATCTATCTTCTATTTTTAAGCGCAACGCCAAAAAGTCTATGGACGCAATGTAAAAGCGATTTTCATAGGGTACAATGATTAACAAAAGGCAATGGGGACAACGCTTAATCGAAAATCGAAATATTCTAGATGCTTTTTTTCAGTCCAAAACCCGGATAAGTATCAACTTAAGATCTTTCTTTAGGTCAAGGCCAAATGCCTAGACAGATTGTCTTTACATTTTTTAAAACGTTTTCAGTTTCTATTCGAGATTTGAATGACTAACGCCAAAATTTGAAATTCTTAAACCTATAGTGGGGTGCTGTGAGGATACTGCCAGGAGTTTTTAATCTTTTCTCCAAATGTGTCCGCTCAAATGCTATTAGTTGCCGAGATTTGACGATTTTTTTGGTACTTTCAAAGTTTTCAAAGAAGTTATTAACAAAAACTTCACAAAATTTGAAATGCACAACCCTGCAGTTATATGCTCTCAGGTTTTTCCAAAAGGTTGCAATTGCTTACCAAAACTTAAATTTAGGAATTTTATGCTGAGAGGTTGTCAGAAAAATTTCAGGATTCACGAATCTTGACATCAAGTATGTCTGCTCAAAGTCTTTTGCCTTCCCAGATATGACGTTTTTTTATGATTTTTCGAAGACTTTAGTGCAAATTTAGATATAAAAAACTTCTCAAAATTTTAAATAAGCAACCTTATGTTAGGGTGCTGTCAAAGTTCTCTCATGCGTTGCAAAATCCACCTCTTAAATGGATTAGTCAAATATTTTAGCTTAAGATTTTTTCACTGAGTGATTTTTTCATAACTTCCTTCAAAATTTGAAACTTCCTGTCCTATAGCTGGGTGCTGTCTGAGTAATCCTTGGGATGGAAAACTTTTGCCTCGAAATATGTCTGCTCAATTCTTTTTTGGCTTCCTAGATATGACGTTTTTCTATTTTTTCTATGATTTGTAAAAAAAAATTTAGATTTAAAACGTTGTACATAATTTGAAATTAGCAACCTTGTAGGGTGCTGCCAGGGTTTTTCCAAGGGTTATGAAATTGGCTTCGAAATATGAATAACCATTAAGTTTTAGTTTTTTAGACATACAATTTCAAAAAAAAAACTTAGATTTAAAAAAATTACAAAAATTTGAAAAATTGACGTTCTCAACTCAAAATTTTTCCAAAAATCTCTGATTGCATAACTTAATGAAATTCAACATTCTAAACCCTATAGTGGGTTGCTGTCAGGGTACTCTCGGGGTTTGCAAATTCTGCCTCCAACTATGGCTGCTTGAATTTTTTTAGGCTTCTACATGGCGTTTTTTGAAATTTTTTCACTTTTAAAAAACTGCTTAAAGTTTGTAATTCCCGATCCGATAGCGGATTGTGTTAGTGTCATTTCATGGTCTTTTGTCAAACCCAACCTCAATTGATACTGGAATTTTTGCCCATCGATTCATCATAAAGAATAATGTTACATTTTTTTTAAATTATCGCTTGAATAGCCTGATTCGAATAACTTACTTTTTACCAATCCTTTTAGTGTACAAAAAGTTTCATAGTTTGAGTGGCCTACTGAGAGAAAGTTGACTTTCTTCGAACCAATCTACAGTTCTTCGAACCAATGAAATAGCTTAAACGTTTTTTAAATGTTTTTTTTTTTATTATTTCTTGCTTAGAAAAATTTTGCGAACCGGTTCAGGTACGTGTATAATAGTTGGGACCCTTAAGACTTGCTAGTTTCATTGCTAGCTAGTTTCAGTTTATTACGATGACAATTATTGTTAGAGCTATCTCAGTAAGATTACGATGCGAAAAACACTTCGAGAAATATTTGGCGTGATGAATGAATCATTTGGTTCGTGCGCAGTAACGGAGTGAGAAGTTTTCTGAAAATCCGTGTTAGAGGAAATTGAGTTCTCAATGGTATTATACGTATCAATAATTGAGTTAATTTAGCATGCTCAGAAGTATTCCGAGTTAGGCAAGCATGTTATTGATTGATTATGTAGTTGGTTTCTATTTCAGTTAGATTATGCCGAGGTCAAACCCAAATCGTTTATCTCGTTTTCTTGAATATCAAACACAGCTGAACTTGACTACAACTTAATGATTAGTGAAGAAATTTGCAACGTGTATTTAATTGAATGCACTTCGTAACTATGACATGAAGATGAAGACAAGGTCTCTGATTGGAGTGATGACCAAGAGGGGTGTGAAATTGAATCCCCACCTGACTGGAGCATGGGGAAGGGGAATGGGTCAGCAGAGTATGAACAGCTGGTCAGCTGATGGTCAATTCAATCTGGGCCTCAATATGGAACAAAGTGTGAAGAAGGGACGACCCATACCTAATGTAAGTAATTCACTTCTGCTTTCAAAAATTATTTCTCTGCAGTCGATCAGTGATATTCATCGCAACACCTGAAACCAGATTTATTTTGAAAGCTCTTCAGAAAACTTTATATGTGGAGTCTCTCTTAGTAGAATTGCCCATGTCACAGGGAGCCTTGTTATTGAACTCCGATTTTGTACAAATTTAAGTTGCGTGGGACATGCAAAAGGGACCTGAAAAAATCATGGAAGAAATCTGTTGAATAATTCTAGATCACAGAGGACTTGGCCTACTGGCACAGTGTGCTGGGCAGAAGACTGGTCAACGAGGACAGAATAAGTGTGAACAAACTGGGCCAGAACTGTCTCTGTTTCGCCATCTTCGACGGACACGGGTCAGCAGATGCGGCCGATTTTGCCCTGGACAAGATTCCTACTCATTTGCACTCTTGGCTCAAGTACAGTCACAATATACAAGTGTGTCTCAAACAGACATTCGTAGATGTGAACAATCTCTTCAGTCGCTCTCTCTACTCAGCATTACTTGACGGCAATTACGAATTGTTTGAAAGATGTTAGTTATCGCTTGTTAGTTCATTGATTATTAGCTTGATTTGAATTGTTTTGGAAAAAATATCTGTAGGGGTTTAATATATGTACAGAGACTTGCCATATGAAGGTGTTAAAAGCCATACAATTTAACCTATTCAAAAATCCCTATTCTCCTTCCGTTTTCTGCATATTTAACATTAGGGGAAGGGGGCAAGGATTAGTTACTTCCGTATTTACGAGTCATGTTGAACCCATCCGGCAAAAAGTTTCTCATCTGGTGGTTCCATTGGAGGATTTCTTAAGCTATACCAAGAATTGATACAAAATTAGTTCAATTGCTTTTCAGGAATTAGTTTTTGGCAATTGGAAATAAATCGATAAAAGATAAATCCATTGGTAAATTTAAGGTTTTAAGGTGAGGATCTCCTTTGTTAAGAGTAATGAACGTATTGAAGACTCTTATATAGGTATTGGCGGTTTTTTGTATTTTATAAGGAAAAGTCTGAACATTTGTTCTGGCGCAAATGTGATTTGTCGCAGTTCGGCTGATTTTTTTTGTCAAAAGTGTAAAGGTCACCAAGTGATCGTCTTCTAGTTTCGAAGAGGATTTAAATGTTTAGATTTCCCAGTGCAAGTAAAAATTTACCTATTGATCCATTTTTGCAAAATTTTCCTGAAATTCAAAGAGCTTTGAGGGAATATATTTATTCTTTAAAATGCGAAATTTGAAGTTTTTTTAAGAAAAGCTATTTATTTTTCTCTTTCCTTGCATTCATTGCTCTTTTCCAACTGTCAGTTGGCTATGTCTAATGTTGATATTGTTTTATGTATGCGAACTCTGTAAATTGATGCGAGACCTTCATGGCGTGGGGTTCACTTTGAATAGTTAAAATTGGCCGAAACAAGGCCATTAAAATTGCAGTTTTTATGGATATTTAAATTAGTTTTATCCCAAAATAATATCGCGAAAAGTTTAGATCTCGATTTTTCTTGTATAGTATTGCGAAGTGGTACAACTGCAGTAGTGGCTGTGTTGCGCAACAGCCAGGAGTTGGTTGTCGGCTCAGTGGGGGACTCCTCAGCCGTGTTGTGCAGAGGGGGAGTTGCCTATCCTCTCAACGCCCATCTCCCCCTCCGACCAGGCAGAGCAGGATCGAATCCAGGCGAGGGGAGGATTCATTGCATCAAACAGTATAGGTCAGTTGAGTCATCTTATTACGGAAGTAGAATATTTGTAAACGAGACGTTTTTTTGCAGAAACTATTATTTGCCCCGTAATTGCAGACATAGGGCAAATAATTTTTTTTCTGCTAAGTTCTTCGAAATACCTAGACTTCAACAATGTTGAAGAGAGCTATTATTATATATTTTTTTAAAATCTGAAAATACTATTTTATATATTGTTATAAAGCCAGCTCGTGTGTCGCAGTTAGTAATGATAGCAGACTATAATTTTCTATAATGGACGGTCCCTCAGGTGCAGGGAAATTTAGTAAGGAGGACGACTGTTGTAATCCAGCGCGATTTAAATATAATTGATTTACGGTTTCTGTGTTATTTAACTTGACGTCTTTTTTCTAGCTTTTTATCTTCGAATTGTTTTTGTGTAGATGAGAAGTCAAATGCACTGATGATTGATTTGACTGATTCATTAGGGGGGTAAACTGAAAAGTCAAGACTCCAGAAGACCAAGCAACCTTTGATTCTTTGAATAGAAAACTATTCAATTTTATTCAAATTTTTTTTGCAGGTTTTGCTGATACAGTCAGCAATCTTAAATATAGTCAATTAAACACTTTTTTTTGCCATAATTTTAGCAATTTATACATCACAAATAATTAAGAAATGATAGATCTTTTTTTTCTGAAAGAAAGGGGGTTGTAGGGTTTGGAAAATTGATAGTACTTTACAGTTAAAACTTCTGAGTACTTCTTAGAAATTGTACTGCTTAATTAAGGGTTCTGATAATTTGATGTCCTTCCATATCAGAATTATGTAAATTGACAAATGTCTATTGAATAATTTCTCATATGAAAACAATTTGTTATTATTATTACCATTGATCCTTTAATTCAGTGACATGCATTTACTCGACTTTAACCTTTTACTCTTGATTGAAATAGATAGAAAAATTGATCAAACTTATGGAGGAAACCCGTTCGTTAAACTCATAGATAAATAGAATGGATTGATATCCATTCCAGTATTGATACTCGTTCCTGATTGGTACTCAATACAAGTGTACAAAAAAATTAATTTCGAATAAAATAGGCTTTGAATCATAAAAGGCAAATATGGCATTAGTTACGCCTGCGCTAAAGGTGATTACTTTTAGTGCAGTCGTAACCTTTGTAAAACGGTTGTACACAAAATACAACATAGAACCACATCATCCACGCAGATACATAGCAAACGACAATTTGGTTAGGACCCGTGACATCAGTCGACACATCACTACGCGTGTATAATGCCTTCTAAAGCAGTTCAAGAAATGCGCGCAAAGATATAAGTTTTGAACAAGGATATCGTGGTACGAAAAACAATTTTGCCGAATCTTTGGGCCAAAACAAACTGGATGACGCCAAACAACAACAAAAAAGACTACGAGCAACACGTCATGGAGTGGAATTTCATGACGAATTCACCGATTTGCTCTCGAAGCACAAAAGCTCATTTAGGAAACTGAAGAAGGAGCCGATCTCTAGGCTGAATGAGGAAAACAGCAACGGAATGGAAATAAGTGATACCTCAGTGATCAAACAAGCAGCAGTGGCACAAGTAACGTTCTCCTGATTCTGGACAACGACTTGAGAAAATACCATAACCCAACTTTACAGGCAGCACAATACACAAGGCAAAACACGGCAGACGACGGAGCAGATATTGTTGTGGGGTGTAAAGAGCTTAACTCTACGTTAAATCCTACCAGAAAGATTACGACTCTGCTGAAAGTAATCACTTTTAGTGAAGGCGTAACTGATACCCTATTAGCCTCTTATGATGTCAACTGGTAGCCTATTATTCCTAATTGTTTTTGTACATTTTTCTTGAGTACGAATCATGTACTCTGAGTATCAATACTCGAATGGTTATCAATCCTTTCTCATTTTCTATGAGTTTACCGAACGGGTTTCCTCTATACGTTTGATCAAATTTTGTATCTATTTCAATCAAGAGTAAAAAAGATAAAAGTCGAGCAATGCGTGTCACTGAATTAAAGAATCAATGGTTGCTTGGTTTTCCAGAGTTTTGAATTTGCAGTTTACCGCCACAATGAATCAATCAAACCAGTCATCGGCGCATCTGTTGTCTCATCTGCACAGTTTTTTTGTGTATCACTGAATACTCTTGGAAGCGAAGATGCAACTAACCTGGTTTTGATTGTTTTCTATGTAGGTCAGCTTCTCGTGAATGCCCGACTGTCAATGACGCGTAGTCTGGGTGACTTGCAACTACATATCAATGGAGTTACCTCAACGCCCTCCACCAAATCTATACAAGTGAGTAGCTGCATAATATTTTTCGTCACGTGATGTTGACAAACTTACTCAATGGCCAAAATTACGTCAAATGTCGAATCTAGAAACGTCCTAAGGTATAAATAACTTATTACTAAGACGTTCTTATCTTTAAAAAGTTTTTGAAGTCAACGGAGGTCTTCTCTCAGGCTGGCTACTAGATGAAATTTGCGTTAACAACAGGGAGAAAAGTTTTGTTCAAAAGTTTCCAAACGGGAAATAAATTGATAGAAGGTCAATTCAAAAGTAAACTTCGTTTTTTTTAAGGATCTTTTCTTGTGAGACCTTCATGATTGGGGCGCAGTCAATTAAGGGCGATCTCCTCTTGTTAGTATCTTCAAATTCTCTGTGGTCATCCTAAGACAACTTATTGGATTTGTGCTATTGTTCATGTTGGTCTTTACATTTTGAGAACAAAAAATGACTAGCCTGTCTCCTATGCGTCTCTTTCTTTGCTAAATCAAATGCTTGTGTTATTAGAAGATAACTTTTTCCAACATAACTTGCACAAATGTGTGCTAACCATGTTAACTGAACTTCAATGTCGTGGAATTTTGTAGCATAAATTACACCAGCTTTAATAATAATCATAATAAATTGTTTCCAAAAGATATCTAGTTCAGTTATTTGTAAAAATTTACAAATACAAATTGCAATCGTATGGGAGAACACCATTAAGCCAGCACGGCCCGTTTTTAGTTACCCCATTAAGCGGAAAACAAAAAAAAGTTAACTTCTTAGATCCAAAGGACCGTTCTACCGGTAAACATTTGTTAAACGTGAACCTCTTTATTCCCTCATTTCAACCCTTCTGTTTTTATTAAACTTGTTTTATTTAATCGCCTGGTAGCTACTATTAGATGATGTAAAAACTTCCTAAGGCAACAAGAAAAGTTGGACCAGTAGGAAGTCCAATGATAATCATGCATTATCCCTAGCTCGATGGTTTGAATCCCTTAGTTGGCTAATTCTTACTAGTTTTTTTAAGCCTTTTAACTTAATTTTGGATTTGCCATTTTTGCTATTTGGTTTTTGATTTCTGGTCAATTCAAATCTGGTGTTCAATTCAAATTAACCTATCGAAAGTACGATACGATGCACTGTTCAATAACGAAATTTCAAATACGGCAAAAAAAATTCTGCTTCAAAAATGTATTTTTTTAAAGTTTTCATTTGAATAAAAATCATCACGAGGGCAAAGTGTGCATTTTGTGAATTGTAAACGGATTCCGCAAAAAGAACGCTTCCTTTATTCTCCTTTGGTTCTTTCATTTTCTCGATTCTTCTAACAAAATTTTAACATGTTTAAAGACTTGTCTCTGGAATCCAGGAACATACAGACAAAAAATTGTGCGCCTATCCAGTGCACAGTTTGGCCTCGTAATGAATTTAGCTATTGATCAAGTTTTCAGAAATCGGAGTAGTTTTGTCGAAATTTATCTATCATAAAGATCATAAAGGTTGTGTACAGACGGGTGTCCCACTCTTTAACCCCACGCTATTTAACCCCCAAATTTTACACCCCCTACTTTATAACCCCGTACAAGATAACCCCATAACAATTTTACTACCGATAACTCCCTTTCACTACCGATAATTTGTTTAATATTAAGTCCTCTTTATAAGTACAGGAGTATTCCAATTCGGTCTACTAATTGAGGCCTGAAAAGCCAGCCTTAATTTACATGATGCCTCTAGCATCTCAAAAATAATCGCATTTCGATTAGTTTGCCTGAATTTGAATCCCTCATTTGCGCGTTTAAAACAGAACTAATCTACAAGGTGCTAATTGAAAGCAATGCAAGAATTTCAAAAAATGTACATAAAATCATACTGCGTTACGCTTGAACGATTGTTTTACCATTCTATGAGCTAAAATGTTTAAAGCGTCCTTCCATTTTACTTTATCCTCCAAAGACAAACAAATATTAGTGATATCAGGCCAGGAGTTTTATCTTAAACGTAAGAGCAAAACCACTATTAATTGAAACTGCCTAAACCAGACTCATAAATGCCGAGCAACAACAACTAAGGATTGCGAAAACTTCATTTAAATGGGGTGAGCATAATCACGACATATCTACAGGAAAACCTGAAAACCAGGAAAAGTTTTGAAAAATATCAAGGACCTGAGCGAGAGTAATACTCCGACCGTAGCAGTCGTCACAGCAATCCAGTCCATAACAGACAATCTTGCCACTCAATTAGCCCTACCTACCAACTAATGAAAATTTAGTTCGAACTGCACAACGCATGTGCAAGCAGCGAGAACAGGTTTTACCAGCGACAAGAAATTTCGAAATACTCGAGCTAATTGAGAACTTTGTAAGATTTGACGGTGGTCAGTATGATCACGAAAGGATTTTTTTTAACTTCAGCAACCCAGAAATGATACGTGTGCTCGAAAGTTCAAACTTTTGGTTGGCTCACGGAACTTTCAAAGGTACTCCTAAAATCTTTTCTGAATTCTACTCTGTACTTGTTAGTCTTTCAGAAATAACCCCCGCTTGCATATATGCCTTCTTACCGATTAAAACGGAAAAAACATACCATCGTTTCTTAGAAGCCCTTAAAAACTTAACCCGGACAGTAAACCTGAAAAATTTTTGCTGGATTTCGAGCAGGCCGCTTTTAAAGCGTTTCGAAAAAACTTTCCAGAGTTGTCTGGATGTTTTATTCATCTTATCTCATAACTATATGAGAAAAGTTGAGGAACTCGGGTTAACAAAGGAGTACGAAACAACCAACCAGCTTGCCTCCCTTCAAACACTTAGTCTCTTAAACGACTCGAGCGGGCACCAATTTACAAAAAAAAAGAAAGATACCGAGTCCGAAACGAAAAAGTGCAGAATATTATGCACGTTTACGAAGAGAACTGATTTGCATTCCTTTCGCGCTATGGCTAAACATTTGTTCATTTGTTCTTTGTATATATTTCAAAGTAAAATATTTTTTTTTGTCATGACTCGCATTTGAAAAATCCGGTTTCCAGCAATTTAATCCCGGAAAAATCGCTCCTTTGGTAGGACACTAGGTTGAGACTAAGGGCTGGCAAACCCTTTAGACATTGCGTTGTATGCGGACAGTTCCAAAAAACATTAACAAACTTAAGATGGTTGGAAAAATTAGTTAAGTTTTATTTTAAAATGATTGCCATTTGAAAAAAACTTAGATTAGGTCGAACAAAGTTTTAGTCACAACCAGTTTTTTTTCCAAAATTCATTCAAATTCAGCCAATTAGTCTAATCTATTATTAGGAAGATTACTTTCAAGATCAAGTTCAATTTTGGAGAAATTTAATCATTTTTGGTTAATAATTGGAATCATGCCGATCGGATTGGTTTTCAAACTCAAATCAAAGTCTATACTATCGGCAAGTTCATTTCTGTTCAAATATGAACTGAATTTAGCAGCTTGCATGTTATTTCGTTTTGCGTCGCAAAAATGTTCGCAATTAAACCTTTGATGTTAACCGACGCTATGATTCCGAATTCCCTTCAAGTAAGTTTCATTTTGGTAAACAACTAATTCTCATAAACCATTACACCAATACCAACAACACACTAAGCGAATCTCATGTTAGTTCACCACGTGTAAGCACGAATCCAAACATATCACTTCTCTAAAGCATTTTTTTCAACTCAATTTTTTGCAATGGCGAGTTGTTTCAAGTAAAAATTCAGGTTTTTTTACTGCAGATTGCACAAATAGCTAAATAAATCCGATAGAAATAATGGCGCAAGTTTGCATGGCAACATTTTTTCAGCCTTTTATTTTTTCTCAGCTTGATAGGTTGCGGGTTCAAATTATATCGACTTAATGGCCTCATATTGCGGTTTTCTGGTTGTGAATCGCAAATGGAGCGAAGCGCAGCTTCGCCTCTGAGTACATAATTAGATTTTATGCTTTCCAATTTTTACATAAAAAGTGAGTGTGGATACTTAGTTTGTTGCATTGCAACTAGTCTATTTGTAATTGGTGTCACTTTTGCTGCATGGCATTGGCCATTTATTAGCATAATTAGCTGCTTTATTTGTGGCTAGTGTTTAATAACTGTCAATGGACCGTGCCTCAGATGCGAAGACAGGGGATTCTAAATCTCCTGGTCGTAGGATCGAATTCGTCACAGCAGAAGGCTTATCAAAGCTTATTTTTACCTTATGAAAACTTATTTCACTTTATAGGGCTGCTGTTTTGCCTCTGTGTCAAAAAGTATGTTATTTTTTTCAGACGTCTTGATTTCATTGACATTTTTCCAATGTTCTTTTGGCTATGTTTATCGGTAAAATGTTTCAGATTAAACACCACAAAGACCAGTTCCTGTTGTTAGTGACAGATGGTGTCTCCCAGGTGCTGTCAGAACAGGAGATGGCCAACATTGTGATGAGTTGTGCGCATCCTCAAGACTCTTGTCGGTAAATATTAGCCCTTCAGGCTATGCGATGCAGTGAATTGAAAGTCAAAATCTTTATACGAAATGACGCTTATTCAAATATATTTTGCTCATGATTCTTCTTAAAACTCAGGAATTGGAACTCTTGGTTGCTTCCATACTCGTGACTCTCATCCATTTTTGGACTCCCTTTCTTTTCTAGAGACGCTTTGTACTCTAAATTTGAATGGCAAAAAAAACGCGCGCCAAAAAAAAACATTTTTTTGGGCAAACCCTTCTAAAAAGTGCTTTTCAAATTAATTTTGCTTAAGACGCAAGAAATCTCGTTTTAACACTTTTATCAATCATCATTTTTTTTTGCTTGAAAGAAATAGCTGTCTTTTCAGCTAGACAACCTTTTCTCGTTTGATGTGTCATTTTTGCGTTTGAAACCTGAATGCAACGCTCCACAGTGCTCTAGCGAATAGTTCCACTTTTTCTAAATACTTGCTTTTCTGTTTTATTTTTACCCTATTTAGACTCCTAACAGACATTGCACTGCAGTACGGGTCAGATGATAATTCCACGGCTTTGGTGGTCCCATTGGGTGCGTGGGGCAAAACAGACACAGAGAAAAACCTGAACAAACTGGCCCACTCCAAGACTCACTGGGCAAATGTGGGCAGCTTCATGAACAGACGCGACTGATTCAATAGACTGATTGGAACTCTTTTTGACACATTTTTAATTCTTGGTTTGTTTTAGTTTTAAATAATATTATATATCTTTTGTTCATTGCTAGAATTGAGTTCGAGAAATTGTTTTATATGATTTTCTCTGTTGCATGAGTAAAACTTGCTAGGTTTCGCTCAGAAGATTCGTGCTACCATTGCCAAACTTGAAAAACTAAAAAATTTACCATTTTTTCGGCTAGTTCTAAAGTAAACGCACAACGGCAAAATTGCACGAATCATTTCGGAAATTTCGCGGACTAATTAATAACTGCTTTACGTCGCTTCAGTCGTTGACCCTTAAAACTGAAGAATATTCTTAGGAGTGTCCTGACGCATCTTTCCAATGAAAATAGAAAGCAAACGAAAACTTATGTTTTGGTAGCCTGTCAAGGGGGCTGATCACAGAAGAAACAATTCCCCAACAGTTTCAACCAATCAGACTCGTATAAAACTTACAAGCTTCTATTTGCTGATGGTTGTTACACTGAAAGGAACGCAATCTAAACTAGATTTGATCAATTAACCCTTTCCGCGTCGATAAACGCCAGTGGATTTTGTTAACAGCGTTTTTGTCTCTGAACTTTACTCGGCTGCGATGGCACTTAACTTGGCTAACTTTGGTTAGTGTCTTCTGTTATTTTTCTTTCCTTGAGGCTTTCGCATACTCAATGCTGAATGACTACTTTTTAGTTTCAGCTATTCGGTCCTTGCAGCACAAAAGATTCTGCCCTATTTACCAGTCAAACTTCAGATTTTGATCTAAGTTGCTTGGAAATACGCTTAGTAAGGTAAGCGCTATAGTCCTGTTACTCAGCAGTAAATAATTTGAGGGAAGGTCGACAAATACCATTGATTTGATGAGGAGAGGAGATGGCTATGTTAACCATATCGAAGGATCTTTCCTTTTCAACTTCAATTATTCTTGTGACAAGCAAGGGTATTGCAATAGGGTACTAGTAAAAAAACTAGTTTATAGAATTCGCACGTGAAAATGTGATAAAAAAAAACGATCAACCTTTACCCGAGGAATTTTAACTCAAAAACTAGGAAGTTGAAAGGATAATGTAATTTAGCTGATAGTAGAAATTGTTATTTATAGAATGAGCTAATCGGATACACGTTACCAATTTAACGCTAAATGAACAATTCTTTTCCGCAGAAAAGTTAACAGACAAAAATGCTAAGTTTTCTTATACCTTTGTGCATGAAGTCTGAGTTTTGCTACCTTCGATATAATTTTTTCAAAAAGAAATCTGCAAAGGCTTTTACTATTCGATATTTTGAGTTCAAAACACAATTTTCAAAGCTAAAGGTTCATGCTAGAGCATTTTGCATATTACTTAAAAGTAAGCATTATGAGACTTTAAATTTTGAAATAAAGCAAAAATTTGAAATAAAGCAAAAACTATCAGTTGTGTTTAACTATGATAGTTTTAACTGAGGTTCTTACGACTTCATTCCTAGTCCAATTTTTGTTCTGGATGAGCTCACTGTTTCCTACTTGTAAGTGGTACTTTTTTGAAGGTTCTATTTTTTAAAATTCTGGTGGCCATTTGTAAAGTCCTAATGCTAGATGTGAGTGAGTTATGAGGTTTTGTGAATAAACGTTTTGCATTTTTCGAAATCATTGAAAAGAAAAAAGTTTTTTTTTGTTCCTCAAATTTTGCTTTTTTGATTCATTTGCTTGTAAATTTTACGGATTTACAATCATTATGCTCTCCAATTTTTCGCAAATTTCTGCTTTTTGAAAATACCTTAAGCTTGAAATACACCAATGGCTTCCTGGTAAACTTGCCTACTCCAGTTTGGTTTAGTTCCTTTGTTCCTTCTTTTTTCAATTTTTGGAATTCGGCTTACAGGTTTTTGGTTTTTATGATATCGACTTGAAATAAAACTTAAGATATTAATTGTATTTTTCTATGATAGTTTAAACTGAGGCTCCATAAATTATCAAAACATTATACCAAGTGCAAACACTTTTGCTTGAATATACCAAGATTTTCGGATCGATGCCCATACGAAATCAACTTTTCTAAAATTGATCTGCATACAAAAAAACGGGCATATATATTCCTCACTTTCTTCGAAAATCAGAATAACAAATGACTGTAACGTAAGTTTAGTTGGATCATTTGTTGTTTCGTGGAGCCCGCAATGGGCGGAAATATCAAAGAAAAGAGTCAAAAGAGCAAAACTGAGCTTCGCTTTCGGAGCCGTGTTATGTTATAGCCATTTTTCTGTGGACTCCAAACAGCAAAAGAATTTAACCGTTTTAATGATTTCAAGCCTGATGAGCAATCTGCTTTCATTTCCTTTCATAAAATACACAGTTTGGCCCATTTTTGAAACACGTCGAATTTTATATCGTAGTGTCAAATCCTTAGGTTTTTTTGGTACCTGAAAATAACTCTTAGCGTAGTTCATTTAGTCAATTTTGGCATTTTGTTAACTCATAAACGTAACTGTTCTGGGTTGACAGAGTTCGCTATGTATGAATAGGGCATAATTTAAAAATGACTTTGAACTTTATTACACTAATATTGAATTGTGCTTCGAAATGAGTGAGCGATTGCATGGCTAGGTCCTTTAGTTCAAATGCATCAATGCAAGATGATTTAAAACTGGTGAAAAATTTCGCATTTTTGAAAACAGGTGGAAGCCTATTTACTTTTTTGTAACGGAAACGCTTGTCAAACAAATTGTTTTTGGTTGCTTGAAAAATTGCCTGAAAAGATCGTGTTTCGGGGATCAATGCAATTTCCTCATTTATAAAAAAAAACTATTCTAGTTTAATAACAAACTAGAATTAATGAACAATTGTGGTTGAATGAGAATCAATTTGATTGGTATAATTGCACATTAAAACCCCGAAAGGCTAAGTAGTAATCAAAGTTTATTTCTCGACCGATTCAAGCCGTCAACAATGCTGAAAAGTTTCAAACTTTTGGAAGTTTTACGGTCGAATTTTTAAAATAAGATTGATATTCCGAAATTAACTCTTTTAAAGTCATGCATTTTGAACAGAACCAACTGAAATCGAAAGTTTTCTTTTTAAAAGTTATACAGTCTTAAAGTCAGAGTTGGAACCGGGCCCGGGCCGTGCTCGGGCCTCGGTTTTAGGATCAGCAGCCGGCCCGGGATTGACTTTCAAGAGTTCACACCTTTCACACTTCTGTTAACAACTTTCTGACTTCACTTCACACCTTTTGCCGCTCCACTTCACACCTGTCGAGGCTGCCGTTCACACCTCTAGCCCTTCTTTTACATCTTTTAACACTTTTTTGAGCCAATTGGCACCTTTTGATGCATTGACAGCTTGCTGCACCGAGACTCAATAACACCTGTGTGATAGACTTTATAAATCACACGCATTTTACGAACATCACTCCATCGCTTTCACCTGGTACTGCTCAGTTTCAGTTGATTCTGACTATTCCTTATTGTTACATTACCCATCTCCTGAGGTCACTTTCGGATCGCGTCAAGCGTACCCACAAGGGAGGCAAATGCAAGGCAAATTTTTGGCAGTTCTTTTAGTCAGTTACCATTGACGAACATTTACAATCTAGAATTGCAACATGCAAAAATTGCTTTCCAATTTCAGTCGGTTACTATTGAAGAAACTTTACAACCTTTCAGTCAGTTACCGTTGAAGAAGCTTCAAAACGCGGAATCGCAGCATGCAAAAACTGCTTTCTAAAAAATGCAAACAACTTCCACTTTCGTTTCGGACGAGCTGGTTCCCTGGGCAACAGCCGCGATCAAGGATGCCGCTTCAGCAGGGCTTTGCAAAGGTGGCATGTCACGGAGCCGAATACCCGGGTAGCCGAAAAAAAATTTCGTTCCCGGATAGCCGAAAAAAGTCAAATCACGCATAGCCTTAAAACAATTGTTCATATTACTCAATTAGATTATTATTACGTCCAATATTACAATTATGGATTATTATGTTGAATATTAAAAAAGTTATAACAAAGCAGAAACAACTGAAACACCAGACCAATAGTCCTTTATATTACGATTTCTTTTTTGAAAAGACAGTTTGAGTGCTGTTATTTGGCCATTCACTCTTCTTAATTTTTTGGATTGTCTCGGTGAATCTTGACCCGATTTGAACATTTTTATTGCTTCTTTCGCAAAAAATTCTTCAGTTTTCAATTGCTTAATTGTAAGCCAAATCGAACATTTTCTTCCTAATTTTTTTGTTCCACCGACTATTCCGGCCCTCACAGCAATTAGTGGTTCGGAAGTTTGTTTCTCTATCAAAAACATTCCAGAATTTGATCGGAAAAAAATCCAGCCAAATCTTTTCAAAATATTCTGTAAATTTTTGCAATTCTGGATAACGAGTTTTCAAAGCCAAAAACTTGGGCGAGTTCACAAAAGTTCGATAATAATTTCGCACTAACGCTACTAGCAAAAACGCGAGGGCGAAAGTTTTTCTCATTTGCTTTTTGAATATTTGATTGAATCTGTAGGCAGTTATGAGGCCAAGTGAACGTAACTTTTTGATAAGTGCTTGTGTAAAATGAAAATAGCAGCCAATATGGCGACTTTCTGGAAAATCTTCTGCCACAGCTGCTTTAAATCCACTTTCGTAATCATACAAAATATTATCTGGTTTGAAAACTTTGTCTATTTTTTCCATTTTTTCTTTAAGAATATTAAGCATAACTTTGTAATGGTCGCTTGTCTTCCCAGTAAGAAGAGCAAACACTAATGGAATCTGGCAATTTTTAAAGTCACCAAAAATTGTATAAATTTGAAAGTATGGGTCTGGCGCAATCTTGAATGTACCGTCACACAAAATAGTCTCACAGGAAGCTAGCCGCTCCATAAATTTTTTCGTCGAAAAAATTGTCACGCCATTTTTCGTATCATTTGAAAGCAAGAAATGTTTTCCCGAAGAAATTTTCGCCCATTCTGGTGAAATTTGTACAGCCTGAATGCTGTGTGGAATTGCCGGTAAAAGTTTTTTCGAGCGCGAGAAAGAGATGATCGCTAACTATTGAATGGAACTATTATCTCGTGATTGTATTTTTCGATTGTTTTTTCGTACGCCGTTTTCATTGTTA